CGGACGCAATAGAGGGAATTCCATGCCGTGAAAGTTTTCGCCTCCCATACCCTCTCTTCTCGTCTCCTCCTCTTCGCTCTCCCCCTCTCCTCCCTTCTCATCTCCGCTCTCCGCTCTCCGCTCTCTCCCTCTCTCCTTCTCATCTTCTCATCTTCTCATCTTCTCATCTTCACTCTCCGCTCTCGCCCTGCCCTGCCCTGCCCTGCCATCCCTTCTCGACTTCGATGACGTTCAACCTTCGATGACTTGAACCATCACTCTTGGTCCGTTCTCTCAAGGCCCCTCCTCCTGAGCTCAGAAAGGACCGTTAGGGCTGGAAGAAGAGAGCATCACAGAAGGGACATCTGACCATGCATCGTCGCGAGGTCAACTCAAGTAACCTCGTGCTGGCACTCATCTTGATGGATGCCGCCTGTCTTTCATGTTCATTTCATGGCTTCTCAGCTGCACATTGCCCATCCCGATTCTCACAAGCATGCCGATTCTCACAAGCATGCCGCCATCTCGGGCCCCTCAAGTGCCTTCATTTAAGAGGAGGAAACGCGTCCGACCTGGAGGCCGCTCAGGTTTCCTCCAGCAAGAATCCTGCTGCGTGCTTGACGGGTCCGTGCGACAGGATGCAGAGGAAGACCATGATTGCAATGCTGCTCGAGCTGATCGGAACATATCTGAGGTGAACACAGACATCGATCATTTGTGGATCTTTCTTTATTTTGTAAAATCTCACGAAAATTACAGGATCTTACGGGAGAAGCCATAAACGTGACAGGCGGAACCAATGTGTCGCGTTGCAAGAGACGGTGCGAAAGTCTTGAATCCAAGGAGAATGGAAGCGACGGGAACCAGAGTGCTAAGGCTCGCAAGACGATGGATGGAGTGGAAGAGCGTCTGGAAGCAGCCAAAGGTAACGTAACGAGGGAGAGGTGACGCTGAAGTTGAGGCAAGGCAGCGAAGTCAACCAGACCACAAGAATACACTCTCGGGCTGAAGAGGAATTCCGCTTGAAGGCAGGGAACATCGTTTCGATCAATGAAGATTACAAACATTCAACTGCTGCGAGGGCTTTCATGCAAAATGTACCAGACGCATTTGTTCATTGCATTATGATTGACACTGGTGTCTGAAAAGGGCAAAGAGCTTTATTGGTGGAAGCAGGTGATAGCGAATTGAATTCTTCACCGATCATGTTGTGCTTTGGCTGCAGTCGTATGAAAACGTCGAGGTATTGTTTTCCTTCAGGGAGAGCATCAAGAAGTCGGATGTGCAGGTCTTGAATTCTTGTCGTTGACGAAATAGATGAGATTAAGAGGCAGGTCGAGATTCGGCCGACTTTGATATCTATCAACATGTCCAGTCATCTCCTGGACGGCAACGAGTCACGTTCACGTGAAGCTGATTTGAACACTACGAAGATGCAGCCATTCTTGTCTTTGAGCCTCTTTGAGAGTGTCTTCCGCCCGCCAGAGAGCTCGTGAGCTGGAGGAGGAGGAGGAGGGAGGAACGATACCTGACGTGTTTTCAGGTGGATGATTGAGGACAACACCCTTCAGTTCACTCTCGCCAAGTCCTTGCCTGTGAGAACTCCTGACGTGCTCGTCCACCAACTTGCTGTCGTCTTCCCGGTCGCCCTGACTTGGATACGACGAGCCATGCAGGGTCGAGCATGGCATGCAGTCTTTCAAGGGCATGAGAATCTCAACGGAAGTCAAATCAGAATGGTAGGCGTTCCCTTGCTTCTGACTTGCCTATGTTGACGAGAGGGTTGAAGATCGAGTCCGACATCCATCTGGAGCAGCTAAGAACCAAGTATCCTCAGCTACTCGTCAACGAGGTCACTCCCTCCTTTTCATTGGCTTGATGCTACCTCAACCACCGATTCCTCTTCCTTGTTCTCCCCCCTCCTCTCCCGTCCTGCTCTGACTGACCTACCTCTGTCCTAGGATGAGGATGTACAGCCTGCTAGCCTGCAAGAGATTGTCTCGCAAGGTTCTTCTTCTGGATGTCTTTCCCTGTCCCTTCCTCCCCTCTGCGTCCATTCTGCTGATACTTCTCCACATCGCCTTGCTCCCTCTCACTCTTTCCCTCCCTCTCCCTCTCTCATCGCCCACGGCCCTTCCATGGCAACCCCCTCCTTGCACCCGGGCATCCTCCCCCACTTGGTCCTCCTGATCGCCTCTGAGCTCTTGTAACCAGCTCGGCTGCCGGAAGAGTTGAACATGGAGGAGAAGCTCCGCTACCATCAGTCAACCTTCTACGCGCCAGCGATGCTGAACGAGTGAGGAGGAGAGGATGAGCTGCGGTGAGAGCAGACGGGTGCATGGGCAGATCGAGGGGATCAGTGGAAAAGAATATTTCACTTCCTCTCCTTGCCCCCTCTCTCCTCTGCTGTCCTCCCCTACTCCCTCCTCTCTCAGTCCCCACAGATGCTCTGATCGCTCACGGCCAGGGCCTTGTAATAGCGCGAGTAGCAGTAAGCTGAGGAGCGATCAGCGAAGAAGCAAGAGGCGAGAGCGGGAAGATGTCCGCGAGCAGGAATAAGGAGTAGGGGCAGAAGCAAGAAATGCGAGAGAGGAGAAGGAGAAAATAGGGACAAGGACCAGCACAAGGACGAGGACCAGGATGCAGTTCCTTGATCACCTGGTTTGTTGCCTCTCTTTCTCAGTCGCTCGGCCTCTCTGTTTGCAATGTCCTCGTTGGAAGGATTCACAAGCTCCTGCCCCAACGCACGTGAGCAGAACCAAACAAAGTGGAAAGAGCATAACTGGAAGATGGAGAGGTAGACGGGGAGGAGCAAGAATGGGTGAAAGGCCCAGGGGGAAGGGGGGAGGGGAATAAGAGGAGGAGGAGATTATGAATCTGGAGATTATGAATCTGTGCTCTGCTGGCTACAGTCTTTGACCTGTAGTTTGTTTTCGCTCTGGATGAAACGAGGGTCGTAACCTGAAGACGTCTCAATGAAGTACTCAACCTCTGACAAGACAAGACGCTTCAAGGAGATGGAGAAGAAACGAATCCAGGAGGAGGAGAAAATCGACGAGTGGATTAGGCAGACTGCAGACGACCAGGAGCAGGAGTTGCAGCAGCACAACCACGGCAGCGAGCAGAAGAAGAACAAACAGCAAGCGCAGCAGGGGCAGGGGCCAGGTAAGGCAGCCAGACCTTCATCTGGCTTGACAGACGAGAAGCCAGCAATGCTCATGACGAGCACAAACAAGGTGGCAGCCTATCGACACGTCAAGTCGTCAGCTGAGAGGCTGGAGGTATCGAGAGCTACCGATGAGATCTTAAGCTTCTCGATCACTGGCGAGACTTCGAACTGGCGGATGAGACTGAGGAAGGGGATGAGCACGAGAGAAGGAAAGGTGCAGGCGAATGAGAAACAGGCAGAGAAGTTGATGAGAGAGGAAATGCTCCAAGGGAGGCGATGTAGAGTATGAGAGGGGGGGAGAGGAGCAGGGGGTGCAGAGCTGGGGAGGGTTCAAGGAGCAGAAGTGAAGTGATTACAAACCGATCGCGGGCGATGATGCTCTCAGGCTTGATCCACATCGCTCCTCTGTTCCTGTAGCCCAACCGCTCGAGATCCGTTGAAGTGATGGGATTCCTTTCATCTGCAAGCTTTCTCAATGCCGCCCGTCTCAACTCTCTCGCTCCTGCTCCCTCCCGGAGTCCTCCGGTGCGTCCACCCCTCCTCACTCTGCATCCCTCCGTTCCCTTCCTCCTCCCTTCCCTCTCCATGCTTGCATCCCTCTCCCCCCTCTCCTCCCTCTACCATAACCCTCTCCTGTGAAACTCAATCCCAGCGATTTCATGTCCATCGCATGCTCACCAGACTCAAAGTAGACGGCGTCCTGCTGCAGTCGATCCGACACAAACTTTACCCCAAGGAAGAGCCTCAGCAGCAGCGCGGTCACTACGCTGCTCGCTCCGATGCAGGACGCAAACAGCCGGGGTAAGAGCTCTGCAGCAGAATCATGAGGCTCGCAGACCGACGCTGCTCCTCCCTGACCTTCGGGCTGGTCGTAGGTGATGCCTGCGATGGGAAGGCTGACGGCGAAGAAGAAGACCCCGAAAACTCCAAGAAGCCTTCAACCATCCTCGTGAGCTCCCGCACAGAATCCTCACCCTCTCCCCTCCACCTCAGAGCGAAATCTTGCTGGGGAAGCAGAGGCCAGTCGAAGAGGAATGTATCTTTGAGCAAACTCCACTCGTTGGCTGGCTGCATGTCCGTCGGGACCCACTCAGACGCGCCTTCACTGTCATCAGCTGCTTCCTCTCTGCCTCTCCAGCCTACCCTTGTCGAAGGGAAGCTGCCGCCGCTCCTTCATCCTCTCCACCTCATCCCTGTCGTCTTCCGACAACTGCGCCACCCAACGGGAGGGACTGCTGCTCCCGCTCCGGGTGCTCCTGCCGCACCTTCATCCTCATGCGTCTCCACCTGCGGAGTCTTACCTCGGGCACTGGGCTCTCAGCCATGTCGGATGCGTCAGCCGACTGCCCGCAAAAGGATCAGCCTCGTACTGGCCGTCCTATCTCGTCATCAAACAACTCACCTGACTTGAAACGCTTGAATGGAGGGCAGGAGGACATCCATCTGCGTGAACGAGTGCATCAGCGTCTCTCTTCCTCATCCTCCTCTTGCTGCTGCCTCCTTACCTCGTTGGCGAGGAGGAAGAACAGAGAGAACACGGCCCTTGCGGAGGGTCCTTGCCCACTCCGGGCCCTCGCCATCTTCTGCAAGGAAGCATCGAGTGAGATCGGGAGGTGCACTGTCAGCCTGTCCCTCTGCTCCTCTCTCCGTTCTCGTCCTCCCTTCTGCATCACTCTCCTCTCCTCTCCTCTCCTCTCCTCTCATCACTCCTCTCGCCCTCCTTCACGCTCCCAGGCTACTTGTCTCCCATTTTTCGACCTTATGTGTCCCAACCCCCACCCCTACTGAAACAACAGTACCCACCCTATTCCCTTGAATTCCCATGAAAAAATCACCCCTTCATCTCGTATTGAATACTACCCTACCCCGGGATGGTTTGTCAGACCTCAGGGCGCTGTGGCATGGAAGGAGGAGGGGCGTCGGCCATGGCGTCAAACTTGTTTGTGATCCTCCTCCTCCTCCTCTGCTCCTCTCCCTCCTCCTCGTCTCCGCCCCAAGGATACGAAGAGCTTCCCTTCCAGCACTTCATCTCCATGCTCTCGTCCTTCTGGGGCAACCTGACGTCGCGCGACGGGTCCGTGCTCATGGCGCGGTTGACCGTCATGGCTGGAGCAGAGGAGGCGAAGAGGAGCTTGAAGGCGACTCTAGGAAGCTCATTCATGGGCAAGAAACAAGCCTGCATGCCTAGCAGCTTCAGGGCGCACGTAAACCGAGTAGAAGCAGCGGCGTCGTTGCTGCAGCTTGTCTACGACCCCAACAAGGCGAGGGGAATGCAGGGGTTCGGCATCCTGCAGGCCTTCCAGCTAGAGCATGGGGAGTGGGAGAGCTCCATGTACAAGCCAGCCTACCTGGTGCTGCGGAACGTGGAGGACCGGAAGAGAGTGTGGGTGGTTGTAAGGGGTACGAACTCGGTGGACGACCTCTTCACTAACATGGAGACGGAGCCGGCCAAGTTCATGGACGGGCATGTGCACAAGGGCATCCTCCTCTCCTCGAAGTTCATCGCAGAGCAGGTGAAGCAGCACATCACGCGGGATACCAAGGAGGTAGTGCTCGTCGGTCACAGCCTGGGAGGAGGAGCAGCCGCTTTTGCCACCGGTGAGTCTGCATGCGGCGGGCCTGCTCCAGCATGGTGAGAGCAGCGTCGTTGCTGCAGCCATACTGCGCAACGAGGGGTACGAGGCGTCGGGGATCGTGTTCGGCTGCCCTTCCTGCTTCTATCCGGCCACCTTCGCAGAGGAACTCTTGTGAGTTCTCCCTGCACTTCCTGCCGGCTTCACAGCGATCGCTGATGGGTGTGAGGTGGGCAGGAACAGACATGTGGTTTCCGTCATTCTAGACGCAGATGTCATACCAAGACTGAACAACAACACAGTCTTCGCGCTGATCCCAGCAGAGGTTGCGCCGAATCCCGACCATCTTCACTGCTGACTCCCGGCGCAGGGCATGGAGAATCTCCTTCTGTCCACCAAAGATCTGCTGTGGGTGTTTGCTGGCCTCGGCCTGAGATGGTTGACGTCATGACAGCCTTGACGGCCTCTTGGGCTCGCTGAGGAAGAACAAGCCGTTCGCAAGGTTGTCTTGTTGTTCCATGTTGCTACTCATCTCCCCTCCTCCCTCTCTCCCCATCCTCTCTCTCTCCCCTCCTCCCTCTCTCCTCTCCTCCCTCTCTCCCCTCCTCCCTCTGCCCCCCTCCTTCTTCACTCCCCCTCCTCCCTCTTTCCCTCTCTCTTCCTCCTGTCTCTCAATCTCTTGCTCCCCCAGGGCGGTGGGTCTAGATAAGGTAGCTACTGGGGAGCAACTGCCTCCTGGCAGAAACTTCATCCTCGAGCCTTTTAAGCTCTCCTCAACGGTCAGCGTCTCCTTCCGCTCCCATTGCTCCTCCTCCTCGTTCTTCCCTCTTCCTTGCTCCGCATCCGTGTACCCTCCCTCGTCCCCGTGGAACACTTCCCTCTCCTCCTCTCCTCTTCCTCCATCCGTGTTTCTGCCCCTCCTCCTTTCTCCTCGCGCTTTCACGTCTCAAAATATGCAGGAGGTGGAGTGGAACGTGCGAGAAGCGCAGTACGAAGACCTGAACAAGATCGTGCTGTGTAGCAGCATGCTTTCCGATCACAACGTTGCAAGTTATCTCGATGCAGTGATGGCAAACCTGTATGAGCGTGATGCGATGGCTGACGTTGCTGTAAAGGTGATCAAGTCTCAGTTGCGACACACTCGATCATGCCGCAGGTTTGAGCTTTAGGTCAAGGTTGTGCGATAGCAGAATGTTGTTTTTGCTGTCTTGGTTGTTTTTTTGGGGTATTTTTTGACATGGGTACAAGAGATCGGAGGCTACAATCAAAAGTGACAACAACCGATGTCTGCACAACTCTCACACAGAACTCACTTCACACGACAAATTCTATCATACATAACAAACACACGACTAGCCGGGTCGCGGATAATGTTGACAAAAAAGCTTCAGATGCAACCGGGTCCACGACCAACAAGCAGTCAAATTGCTCCTGCCATTGTCCCCATCACGCTCCTCACGCTCCCTGGTTGATCTTGAGGCTGAAGAGCTTGCAGAAGAGCGAGCTGATGGGTTGCAGACTCATGTCGCCGAAGGCGAGCAGGTCGAATTTCTCCAAGTACACGTTGAGGTCCCTCTCGTCGCCATGCAGGAAGGCGAGCTGGGAAATCAGGTCAGCCCATCCTCTCCATCGCATCCAAGAGCCTCACCTTAACCAGGCACTTGGCGTTGATCCCTGCAGCCATCTGCTCTGCCGACTTGCCGTCCCCGACCACGAACACGTTGCTCCTGCTCATGATCGCCCTCGCCTCCTTCACAAGCGACGACTGCGACCCTCCTCCTCCCCTTGTTCCCTCAGACTGGCCGGCCACAAGCTCAGCAAACGAGCGCAAGTCTTCGTCCATGAGCCTACCGTCCGCCATCTCTTCCCACGTGCGAAAGTGGCCGGAGGAGTAGAAGACAAGAGGGATTTTCTTCTCCTTCAGGGTCAAGACCAGCTCCTTCACGTCCTCCCTCACTGTGTACCTTCTCCCCTGATGCCCTAAAGTCCCTCCCTCCCCGCCCTCCTCGTTGGGGCCAGGCTCCTTCCCCTCCTCCCGGGGCCCGATGATCGCCTCCTGATGCTCCTCCGCATGCTCTGCCGCCGTGAGCGCCAGGTTGAAATCCATGATGACCTGCACGTTGCCGATGCCGTCCTGAGCGACAGTCTCGAGCTTCGACCGCAGCTGCTTCCCCTTGCCGTACAGGACGGTGTGCTTGTCATGCTCCACCTCATACTTGCAAGCGCTGCTGAGCGTGCAGTGCCGGAAGTCGTGCATGATTTCGCTCGACGTCACGTCGCAGGGGGACTGAGGTTGCAAGACTCTTGACCACTTGGTCTCGTCCGGAATGCTCTGGTAATACCTGTGGAGTCAAACAGTCAACCCGAACGGCAAGGACGAGCACAGGAGCACAGGAGCACAGGAGGAAGAGACGCACCAGTAGTCAATGTCCACAGGCTTCTGAGTCTTGAGAGACATGATGACTTGACGTGCGATATGAATGCAATCGAGCATGCTCTGCTCTACCAGGTCCGTCCGCATCCCAGCGCCAGCACCTTGCATGGCCCTCCTTGCCTGCACCACCGCTCGATCCAGCGCTGCCTCGTACTTCTGCGTGAACCTGTAGCTCATGCTGCTATACCCCCCCTCCTGTACCACTCCACCTGGCCTGCTGCTAGTCGAGTTGTGGAACTCGTCCTCCCTGCTCATCGAGGACAGCCTATCTCCACGAAGAATGAACTTCTGATCCTTCACCTCCAGGTTCTGCGCCGTGCTCGTCGTCGTCACCTCACATTGGTTGGGGTACATGAAGTCCACCCGCACTCCCTGCTCGACGCCTCTGACAGGCGAGGCTGACACCTGAACAGGCCGCATGCAGCAGCAGAAGTTAACAGCAGAGCAGTCCTTGATCACGAGGTCGAACACTTGGTCCTCGACCTGATCTTGAGACAGGTGCTTGTTGCCAGCAGCAAGCACCTCCTCTGCCTGGGCCTCCTCCTCACACTCTCCTCTCAGCCTCTGAACTTCTATTCTGGAGCTGCTCGCAATGCACGACATCATCCTCGAGGTGTAGTGCGAGCCCGTGCGCCCCGGCAAAAAGACGCTCAGAAACTTGTTTTGCCTCCTCGCTATCGTGAAGAGCGCTTTGACCTCGCACATCTCACGGGAGACGAAGCTGTCAGCAAGCACATTCTTGTTGTTCTCCAGGGCCTCCTTGATCCTCTGGGAGCGAAGAGAAAGCTTCCCGCAGACGACGACGAGCTGAACGCTATCGCTCCTGAGGAGCTCGTTGTACGTGAGGGCATGTTGCACTCTTACCCTAGAGCCTCTCAACGACTGTGAAGCTTCTTGGAGCAGAGCAGTATCGTCCTCTACCACCCATCGCAGCTGAAGCGCACCATCCTTCGCAATGCTCTGTATGAACGATTGCGCAGCCGCACCATAGCCAACAACGCCAACACCAAACCCAGTCATGATCTGTCTCTTCCTCTTCGTTACAGCTTCAGCACAGTGCTGTCAGTCAGTCACTCTCGTTCCTCGCCTTGCGCTCGTTTTGACTTCGCCTCCACCGTTTATGTATATAGATGAACCCCCTTTCCCTTTTTTTTTCATTTCTTCTCAAATGACTCGATTTCGATTAAGATCCAGCCAAGATGTGCGTTAAAACTATCTCTTTCGCATGCGTATCTCAATGTGGTTGTAATTCACACCCCTCCCTCCTACCACTTCTCCCCCACCACCCCTCATGCCTTCCGATGACATTGCCTTTAGACCCGGCGGTACGCCCACAGGTCCGCCCTGGCGGCCGCCTCTCTAGGATGACTTCGATGGATTGCCCTACGACTGTTACGTTGCGGGTGCCGGTACGTAACTGCCAAGAGTTGCACACGGCCCGGTACAAGTCAGGCTGAGTCAGCCTGGCAGCCCGGCGCTCCGAGCCTCCTCTACACGCCCGGGCGCCGCTCACGCCGGCACGGCGACGGTCACCCGTGAGCGGACTCGCCACGGCAGGTGGCCGGAGTCCGGTGCGAGAGGCTCACAGCCTGGCAGTCAGAGCCTCCGAGGCTCCGACCGGTCGCCGGGGACGCCGCGCGGCCCCCCCCGGTCCGGCCCGGGTCACGGCCCGGTGACCGCCGCGGCCGCCCCCCGCCGGGTCCGGTTTCACTGCTCCGAGCTCTCGGCCCGGCGGAGTCACAGTGCCGCCGCGACTTCGCTGAGTGAGGCTTCAAGCCGGCCGCGGCCCGCCGCGGCCCGCCGGGGGGACCTCCGATCGGACCGTACTGTGACAGAGCACATGTACCGTACTACGGTACTGACGGTCCGGGTGCCGGCCCGGTGAAAGTCACTGAGAGTCGGATCACTGACTCCGAGTGATGCGGCATCAGACTAGTACCGCCGGTGGCAGTGGCGGTTTACCCTAAACCAGAATTGAGAAGCACTCAGTCTCCCCATATGAGAGATAGCCTCCGACGCCGGGCAGACTTGACTGCATGCTAGGATGTGCAACCCAAGGCTTGAAGCAAAGTTGAACACGCGCCGCTAGCCGCTGGGCTCGGAAACTTAGGCCCCCGTCTGAGTCCGACGGACAAGTCAGGGTCGTCTTGGTTTACAGGAGAGTTTTGTTAACTCGGCACTATCTGACTGCACTGCTCCGTCTTCCGATAACTAAGTTCAATGACTCAGTGATCATGCGGCCATCGGATCGGCACTGCGGCAAGCGGCGGCGCCGGGGGCCCTTCTGCTTGAAACAAAAGTTGACCTTTTTTTTCGGACCGTCACGGTGGCGGTTCACAGGACTCTTGGAACATGTCGGCAATGGCTGGAGCCCCGGTGCTGCTGAAGCAAGGATACATGCAGACGAAGAAGATGCTGGGATGGAACACAAGGTACTACAGGTTGCTCCAGGTCGCCACTGCTCTTGCCCGTCCATCGCTACCTGTGACAGCATTGGCAGGACTGCTTGTTCGAGTTCCCATCTCATGACTCCAAGACCCCGACCGACGAGTTTTCACTCTGTGATGGAACTATCGAAGATGCGTCCTGGGTAAAGAAGCCTGTTGAGTACGATTTGGTTGATCATGCGATGCCGTCAGGAGCTGAAGCTGGCAAACGCTCTGCGGGTCACCACAGAGTCCGGGAAAGTGTTCGTGTTTGTGTGCACAGATAGCAAGGTAGGTAGTCTACTTCTCTCTCTCTCTCTCGTCAACTGAGATGATCCGATCTTTGCCAGGAGCACCGCCAGTGGTTTGACGCCATCTACTACTCCACAACTCTTACGAGACTTGCGGAGTACGCTTCTCCTCTCACTGGGAGTTGGCTGTTTTACATGGACAAGGGGAAGTTCCAGAAGCACTGGTTTGTGATCAAGGATAGGTAACAAAGCATCGAATGTGAAGATCGCAATATGAGGCCCGTGTGTTTTACTTTCCAACAGTTTCCTGTTGTGCTACGAGAAGAGAGAAGACATGACTATGGTCAATGATGGGAAATTGACCAAAAGAAAGTTTGTATTGCCGTTGAATGGAGCTGTGAGTTTCCCACGGGACAGTTGCTTAAAGGTAGAGTTGACGGTTGTGGCAGGTGCTTGCGTATTACAAATCACACATGCCATACTCGTTCTGTATCCAGATGTGGGTCCACGGAGAACTTAGGAGTGAGTTTGTGCTCGCTGCACAGAGCGAAGCGGTTATGCACGTCTGGATGGAGGTCGGTAGGGAGGCCGGGCAAAGACAAGAGGCTCATACCTCTGACAGGTCCTGTACACCTCCATGGGGAACAAGATCGAATATGCCGATGAGAGGGACGGCTCGAACTTACCTGCTGTGAGCGTGCTTGCCCTGACCCTCCTTGCTGTGACCTTGGCCAAGGTGACGGTTGCAACAAGCCTCGATGAGTTGGCAGCCAGTCGCACCCCGGTGAATCATTTCTTCGCCGCTGAGTAACATGGTCTGAATGCTGCTTCCTCTCCACCTAGGTACCATGCCGATCACACCCTGACATGATTCGAGGCAAGCCGCTGCCGTCGAAACCAAAAGCAGAGACAAAAGGTTCGGACCCTTCAATTTGCCTCAACACGCTTCTCAGAAGAGCAACAGATGAGGACGTCCTCAATGCGGAGTGGACGGAAGAGAAGGTTCGACAGCAGAAAGATGGAAGGAATATTCCCAAGGCTGATGAGAACAGCGCTCCTACCAATGGAGCAAATACGGTAGTTGGTTCAATGAACATCTTGTCCCCTGATGCTGCTTATTGTAGAAGCATGACTTTCCTATGCCGAAAACCGAAGAGACACCAGGTGCGCTATAACCTACTTAGGCCACCTTTCTGACGTTAGAATCCAGACGTGCCGGCTAACGACGAGGGGTCGTTTCCGGAGACTCAACCGTCCATGCCTTTCTTCGGAGGCAATTCTTCGGACTGGAACCCTTTTGGTTCTCAACCATTGAGAGAAAGCGGAGGGACGCCAGGCAACGACAGTTGGAACCCGCTGCAATCCCTATGGAGCCAGTTCGGTGGAAACTGGAGTAATTTGAATGCAGGAGTAACGGGGCTAAGGGACAGTGCAGGTGTGTGAATTTGCTTGATCTCTCTAGTCTTGTGGTCTGGCATAATTTGCCTCTCACCAGAAGTGAAATGAAGTTGGATGATGTGTACGGCTGGCATATCTGAAGATCGATAACGACAATCTTTGACTCGTATAGTTGTTTGTTTGCTTTGACTAGTTCATGCAAGAGATACCAAAAATCTTTTTACTTGCCGAGAACCATCTTGTTGAAGAGATCGACCTCGTTGGCAGAGCCGAGGCAAGCAGGGGTACGCTGCAAGGCACGGAGATGAGCGAAGAAAAGAGTTCAAGATCTAGAGATAACAACCTGATCGACAGCCTCAATCTTGATATCAAGGCAGGAGTTGCCAGTGACGCCATCAGATGTCTTGCCTGCATCGCGCAAATCAAACGGCAACCCCGAGCATGCTCGACCAACCTCCAGCCTTCTCAACGAGGAGGGAGAAGGGAGCGATCTCAAATGCGACGCGAAGCTTAGCAGGAGACTGTAGTGCAAGTTACATGCTGCATCATCATGGGTTCTGCAGCACCTTGGGGGAAGTGGGGTTGGCAAAGACTCCCATCTCCTTGGTGAAGTGCTGGTAGACGTCGGGGACCTGACAACCGTCAGTCAGCAACGGGAAGGCGAGAAGAGACAATCTCAATGGAACTTACAAGTCCGCCCGAGTAGCGGAGGGTGTAACGCTTCTCCATCCAGTGCTTCACAAGGGCATCGTATCCAGCGTCCTCCTGGCAGCAGCGCAAGTTGGCAGGCGAGAAGATCTTCGAGTCCTGGCAACAGGTCAGCGGCTGCTCAGCCGTGTCGCCATGTCAGAACCTTCTTGATCTGGATCTTCTCGCGGGAGGCGATCCACTTGTTGCCAGCTCCGCAGGTGAACTCGTACACACCATCATCGCAAGCGACGAGGGCGGTGGTCCTGGGTCCGTAGAGCACGACGATGGAAGTAACCTGGTCACGGCCGGTGGCGCCGAGCATGCCAGTCTTCTTGTCCCAGATGCCTAGCATGCACAAGTCAGCTAGAAGTAGAGGGGCAGGAGGAGCACAGCAGACGAATATCCTGCTCACCGATCATGGTTCCTACGGCCCAGTTGTTGTCAACGATGGAAGATCCATCAAGGGGGTCCCAGCAGATGGTGAAGCGACCGTTGGGGTTGGTCTCAACGAGAACAGGCTCCTCCTCGGAAGCAGCCTCCTTGACAACCTTGGAGGCCTTGGCAGCATCCCACATGATGTTGTCGGCGATCACATCAACGCCGAGCTGAACGTCGCCGAAGACGGAGTTCTGAGCGTCAGCAACAGTAACGAGGTTGACGCGGAGAGCTTCGGTGATCTTAACAGCAGCATCCAACATCTCCCGGGTAACCTGGCGAACTCCCTCGTCCTTCATCTTCTGGTTGAGCACTTCATCCAAGGTAGCATAGCTGTCCTTGGCCTTGGCGCTGGTGTAGAAGGAGGTGTGCGAAGCACCGAACCCCTCTGGCTTCGTCTCAGTGTTCATCTTGGTGGCAACCTGCTGGATCATTCAGAGCTCTCTCTTTGAACATCACATAATAAGCAAGAGACATGCCAAGCAAGCAGGGCGACGATGGCTCATTGAGAGAACACATGTCAAACAACTCACCACTGCTCCATGGCGGGCGACCCTGGACGCAGCCGGGAGGGACGAACGAGCAGGGGAGGCTCCTCTAAGAGAAACTGAGGGCACGAAGGCGGAGGAGGAGGCGATGACGCCGATAAGGAGCAAGCTCCGCACAGGAAGGAACGCCATGGCGGAGGCGGCGATGTTAGGTGACAGGGGGTAGGGGTAGAATAACGTGAATGATGGGGGTGATGTGCCCTAGGGGGGTACTATGATAGAATGACTTCCCTGACGCAAGAGAGCAAAGGTGTTTTTTTATTTTTCTTGGTAGTGATTAAATATTAATTTTAAGGTTTGTATTCTAAAAACTGTTTACTAAAATGTGTTCACACAGCAGTTCGAAGGGGCCAGACGCCCCCTCCCCTTACATGTACCACCCTTCAAGGTACCGGTGTCGAAAATACAAGTACCGGTACCTTTGTAATGATTTATGGGGGTAGTGGGACGATGGGTGACTGTCGCACGTTCGTGGTGGGTGGTAGACAAAGGGCGGAGTGCAGGGGTACATTTCACTGTTAAATCAAGGGGTGCTCGCGATAGAAGGGTATAATTGTGAATGTGACCTAGTGGGTAGGGTGGTAGACCTCTCGATAGGACGGGGGGTGACCGTGGTAAAGGGGAGGGGTAGTTCCTCAAAGATTTCATATGAGCGCTCTAAATAAGGGGGTGGGATAGTGACAAATTAAATGATGATTGCAGGAAAATAAGACTTCATTTATCCGGCGGATTGCCCAGAACACAAGTTTGGTTTGTGGGACGGTGGTGAAATGAAGAGAAGGAGTGAAGAGGGGAGGAGAAGCTGATGAGAAGAATGGATGATCAGGGATCAATCAAGGTCTGAGACTTGTGTCCATGTTGAACTGCTTCCCTCGCATGTGAAGAGATCGTCCGCTATGACTGGTGGTTACGAATCCGGGGAAATCACTTGCATACGACGCTCCTTTCGGGCACTGTAGCCTGTGTTTACGATATTGAATATCACCATGAAATGACGACACGTTGGGCGACGGCTGAATTGCCCTAACACGAGGCTGGAAGCACCATAAACATGTTGGGTTCAGTATTGAGCAAGTTCGGCGGTGGGATCGTCAACTCAATTTCTGATAAGGAAGAGGAGATTGTGTCTGAGAGCAGCACAACGATAAAATTTCATTGGAAGGTAGGTAAGCTTTCGTCCCTCGGCATGAGCAGTTGTGTTACCACCGAGTTCAAGACAGGCAAGAAAGAATACCAGCAGAGCTGGAGGATGAGCTTCTACCCTCAAGGCTTCTCGGACCCCGAGTCGACGAGCTTCTTTGTCACAAACTTAGGGTGCCTGGAAGGAACCGAGTCGAACACGGTCAGTGCGACGGTGGAGATATCGATCCTCAGACAAGCAGAGGACAAGCGGTCTTCCTCGAAGCAGAAGAATGCATCTCGAGCAGCATCGGCTCAAAAGGCAGCATCTAGACTGGCTGATGATCGATCCTCCTCCTCTGGGAGTTCAGTGATGTCGAGATCATCTCAGATGTCTGTGTCGAACAAGGCACGGTCGGTCGGAAACAAACCTGAGGGCTGGGGGATGGAGGTACAGATGGGGTTGTCGCGCAGGTTCTGTAAATCCTTCGACCAGGTGAATCACACCTACGGGTTTGAGAAGTTTGTTGATCGCGAGTATCTCTTCAACTTGAGGAATGGATTCCTGCTGGAAACGGCAAAGGATCAGATCAAGCCGATGGATGGAACCATCGTCGTTCGAGTGACTCTGTTCTGCATCATTGGAATCACCCTGAATGCTCCCGAGAAAATCAGCGAAATCAACCACAATGGATGGCAGCGCGTAGAGTGGACAATATCTGACTTCTCCCGTGTCTGTAGATGCTTTCAGAAGGATACAAAGCTTTCATCTCCCGAGTTCTCCTCGAATGGGTTGTGGACCATTGACTTGTATCCCCATGGCTACCGGATTGGAGACACAAACGATCAATGGATCTCCATCTATCTCCATGCAGTCCGAGATTACTTGGACAGGGTCGTCAAAAGAAAGTGCAGGTTCAGGATCGGGCTGAAGAAGCAGAACCCTATGCCGCAGGCCCTCTACGCCATTCTCGGAGAGACGGAGGACGACGATGTCTACTTCCCCAAGAGCACGATGATCACAAACATCTTCACATCTTCGAGCATGACCGCGGGCTACCAACATTTCATACCATTCAATACTCTCATCAAGGGAAGAGACTTGCACTCCGTCCTCCCAGCTGGGAAAAGCAAAGCACTTGCGCCCCAGCTGCTCAAAGGCCTAGAACGCGAGCTGGTAGCGGGTAAGTTTGACAAGGGGGGCTCAATCACGATTGTCGTGGACATCTTGATGATCGACTCTGTGGAGGGTCAAGTGCAGCAGATGCTGCAATACATGCGACCGAAGAAGAAATCGAAACGACAACAGGCCAAGATGTTGCAATGGCAAGATGTTGAGATTTTCAAACAGTTTGCACAACAGACCCCCTGTTACTTCTGTGGCGAACAGTTTGCGCCGTCCGACTTGATCTCGTCTCCCAGCAGCCGAATGCCACAATTTGGTTATGAGATCGGGAGGGAACATGTGGTCGATACTATCCTCGCAGAGGAGGACCCCAGCCTTGCGGTCTCGTTAGGCAGGATGGACATGAAAGCAAGCATGCAGAAAGTGATTTTTTCCTGTTGATTCTGTTACATCCACTGTTTCTTACCAAAAACATAGATCATGACTCACTTTGACTTGCTCCAAAAAGTTCCTGGGATGCCATGTATGAGGAGAAGGAATATCCCCAAAGATCCTTTTTTGGATATTGAACCTGAAGAAGTTACGGTCAGCTCTCTGTCGAGCAGGTTTCATCTTCTTGAATTGATCATGATGGTGATCGATGAGCATCTCAGAGCTGCAGCCAAGGAGATGCAGAGAAGCATTGAATTTGAAAGGAAATTAGAGGTGCTCTAGATTTCTCCCTGAGTTTTCTTCCATAATTTGTTCTGTGTCGGTTCGTATTTGTTGTTTGTGTGGATTATTGTTTCACAAAACAGATAGTTGTGTGTTGTATCAAAGCTCTCCAACTTACTTTTGTATATCAGGAGTTGCGTAAAGATGTCGAGGACTCTTTGTATTCCAAACCTGTTTGCTTCAAGGTTATCTCAAGCGGGTTACATTCGTGTTTCACGTTGACTTCATCAGTGCATCGAGCTTTGCAACGAGTTAGAAAGCTGCCCAACAATCGCAGCCGGCAATCTTTTTGAGGAACCTGAAGATGAGGTATCCAACTCGAAATCAAACACGAAAGTAAGAAGTATCTTGATCGCCGCGAGTCATCTCAATCTTCTACAGGACGATCAGCCGCTTTGGAGGCAGATGAAGGACAAAGTAGATTTGCTTGTTGCTGGCGTAGGCCTAGACCCGTGAGCCTGACATTTTCAATACTTGTGGTTGATGATCATGCCAAAGCAGAAACAACAAGTTAGCTCTTGCTCGCGGAGGAATCTACGGAGAACCCCTTGAGCTTGCAAGATATTGTAGCGGCAGATTAGCCAATGCTGAAGAGGACGCTCTAACCGAAGTCTTCTGCGACGTCAGGTGTGTGGTCATGGTGTTTGTGCCAGAACACAACCGAGTGATCCTGCCGGTTCTAGATTTGATCGAAATCGCAAGCAAGTGAGGGGAATGGAACGTTTGTTCTTCAGGGAGCATCGGAAGTATCGTTGCGTTGCGACAGGAAAGGTATCCTTGAGTTGCCGACCACCAGCAGCAACTGAGAGGAGATGAGGTCTTCTGCGAGAGCTGCATCCGCTTTCGATCTCCCCTGCCTGAGTTCAGTGAGAGGCCTGAATGTGCTCAAGTCTTCCCTGTCTGCTTTGAGGTGAGCACCTACCTTCACTACTTGTCGCTCTGTTTGACCACTTCCCTTCCCCTCTCTCTGTTACCTGTCCTCGCGCACTGAATCCTGTCAACAGGCATGGCGGCAGAGGGCGACCGAGCTCAACGGCAAGATCCTCGGCGTCACAGAGCAGAAGCGAGAGGAGGGAGGAGCATGGAGTCTCTTCGCGTCTTCTGGTCGACGGGTCGGAGTCGTCGTGCAGGTTTTCTTGCCATGGACCACCGATCCTTCTCAACCCCAAGCAGGGAGCGCAGGGTGACGACGAGGACGATGATGAGTCTCCTCTCCTGGACGCTGTGCGGAGGTGTTTGTCTCACCTCCTGTTATGGGGAGAGGCTGACGCATATGCTACAGCATCCCCTTTGTGGGGAAGGATTGGGCGGAAGGTGCTTCCAAATGGATGAGCGAGCAGTAGGGAGTGTAGAGCCATTGCTCGAACCTGTCGAAGAGAGGAGCGGGAGTTGTCGGGTTTGGAGCAGGAGAGAAGCGGAAGTTGATGTGAACGTCTCTCGTTCGCTGTCTCTTGCACTCCTCTGCTTGCTCTCAACTTTTGAACCGCCAACATCGATAAACCCTTTTGTCCGAGGGAAGTATCCCAGGGTTCGCCTTGGCACGCTCCATGAAAATTCCCGTCATTCTCACTTGCGGTTCTTGCAACATGCATGCATTCCGATCGTGGCAGTGAACGAGACGCAGAAACGACCAACGACGAACAAATCACTGCAAACGTCGTTTTTTATGCGGAAAAAACTGCTGCTCAAAAGATTATGTACTCATGTCATGAAGCTTTTCTAAGCATGTCTTCCGGAGGGTGGAGGGAGGTAAGAAATAATACAGAGCTATTTACCAGCCCTGGTGCCTCCAGTTGTTGTATCTTGCCTTCATGGTGGCTCCAATGTTAACGGCAGAGTGGTACTCCTTGTCGCCCATGGCAATGGCGTTCTGGGAGGGGAAGAGGCCCAAAGACTGCAGGGAAACATCGCAAGTGAGTCACCTTGCGGATTTTGACACATGCAACAGAGTGCAACAGGGAGAAGGAGAAGATATAGAGATATTGGTCCTCCATGTTCTAGCTTACAATGACATACCACATATCTACAGAGGAATTCGGGATTTGAAAAATCGATGGAGGATATGATCATGTTCTACAGGATTCCCCCTAACTCGATTCAAACTCATACTTCGGACAAGATTTAACAATGCTCTAACGGAGCGCATGAATGCTCTAACGGAGCGCATGAATGCCCTAAAGGAGCGCATGCAACAGCATGACAACTCGATCAACATAACATGACTGAAATGATGTCAGGTCGGCAACCAGTTCGGTACCATCGTAGTCACAGCCATTCTTTGCATTCTCGGAAGAACGCAGGAAGCATATCATCAACATTATGCTCTAACACACACAAGGAGAGAGGAGAAGTCGAGAGGAGCGATCTGTTCGCGCAGCAACCTGCATGGTGAGCTTCTCGGGGATGAGCTTGGAGAGCATGGCGGCACTTGCAGATGACTCTTCCCCAGGGGTCACCAGGCAGGAAAGAGGACCGCAGTCATAGGTAGGGTAGAAGGTGGATGATATTCTAATTGAGCTAATAGGTAATAACGATAAGGCTGCTAGGAGGACTCTAGCTCTTTATCCTGGTGCGGGCATGAACTCACATAACTTAACTAATTATCAGTGGAATGATCGAAATTACTAGCCGCGCCGGGCGGCCGGGCCGGGGGCGCCGGCCCGGCCCGGCCGCCCGGCCCGGGCCCCCGCTCAGCGGCGCCGTGGCACTGCGCCACCGCCCGCCCGTGACTGCACTGCGGCACTGTGACACCGAGCCTCAGATAAGAGAAGATGCCAAGAGCGGGTGTCGGATAAACAGATCATGACTCGCAGATAGGATAAGAGAAGAGAAAGTGATAGCGAATTTGACTTTTTTCATTTCTTGGAGGCTTTGAGAAAAACTGAGTCGTGACTCATTTCACGGTCACCGGGTGGTTTCCCAAGATCATGCCTTGGGATTTAACGAAGGATCAAAAACAAACAGGCAAAGATGAGAAGAATCAATGAAGGAGAATACAGAATTCCGGCTGTGTCAATTCACCTCTGTCTCTGCTACGTATTGCATGTCGTCAATCTGCGGGATGAGACAACGAAATCCCGTGCTTGAAGAAGAATTGCTCCTGATGTGCCTCCCAGCAGAGAAATTTTCCATGTATTCAATAATCTCTGCCTTGAGATTTGCTGTCGTCTTGTTTCCGTCCTCTGCACAATCCTGGTAGTAGAGCATGCGAGTAACGTATTCTTCCTTCAGACGAGCACCGAGCTCTGGATCAAGGGTCTTGGCGATCTTGCTGCTGATTTTGCAAATACCCGTTGCAGTCGCTTTGCTGAATCGCTCCAGTGCCTCGATGCATCTCAACAAGGAGCTCATGGTCTTCAGTATGCCCTTCTTCCTTCCTATCTGAAACGACCACAACTTCTCGGCATCTTTCTCGCACTCTCGCTTCCTTCGCTTAATATCTTCAAGCACCGATCTATGGCATGCTTGTGCTGTGTCGACGTTGATACGAATCTTGCAGATCAGCTTGAAGCAGACCCCATCAAACCCGGTAGGAACTAGTTTGCTCAGACTAGTCCTACAAAGAGGGCAGGATGTACACAAGCCGTCCCCCAGGCTGGATATCAAACAGATCGTATGATACGAATGGCCGCATGATGTCATTGTCACGCTGGTTGATTTCCCCAATACATCGAGGCAAACAGGACACTCCGCCTCGCAATAGGTTTCCGAACGCTCGATTACGTCATTTGTATGATTTTCCAACAATTGACGTAAGTGAGCTTTCAGATCGCTGTAGCGTATCATGCCGTCCGCAAACTTGACATCACATTGCTCTAAACGAGTTAATTCTTCCGACAAGAACTTGCCAACCGGCATTGGGAGGAGTGAAAACTGATACTCAAAATATGTGATAAATCTGCACAATCAATCAAACCTCTCAATGACGAAGTGAAAAAGTGAGACCGGGAATGCTCCAGTACGAACAAACTTGTAGCAAAGAAAGAGTTGCAACCGCCACAACCTAAGATCAGCATGTCATGACAAATTTCGTGCGAGAGCAACGTGAGGCTATCAAATGCCAAAAATGCGACAAACATGCGCTAAGTGGATGCAACGCAGAGTATTAACGACATCGCTCAAATGTGATGAAAATTATTCGTTGACATGAAATGTACAAGAGCCCTCAAAATGCTTCTGCAACCTCGGTCTCTCATCTTCCAGAGTGCGTCGCATCTGGAACCTATCTCGCCTTCTGACTCAATCTCTGTCTTTCATCATATCCTTGATCTACTTCTCATGCTTCAGATTAAGTTACACTGATCATTCTAACTTCTTGACATCCCATGCCCCCTGACCTCAACCTCTTCTCTCAGTTCTCGCGCTGGCTCATCAGCTCTTGTGGCCCTCCCCCGCGATCATTGCGCCAAAAATGGGCACCACCCCTATCTCCCTAGAACATAAACCCTACCCCTCAGAGAATAGGCTCCCCCACTACAATCTTTCTCCCCACCCCTATGACCCTATGCATCTGTTACCCTACCCCCTTCTTCATAAAAAACATCTTTCATCCACCCTCTCCCCCATCGACCACCCCCCATCCCATCACCCGTACCCTCCATAGCTCTTCTATCCGCATGACCACCCCATGGCCAGTAGTGGTGACGTGACCTATTATTTTTGCTGTCGTACAGAAAATCTTAATTTCTACCCCACCCGCACATCCCCCACCCCCCTGCCTTCGGCAGACCCTCACGGAACAGACCACCCCGCTGAGTGTTCCTCTGCATACTACCCCTCCATCAATACCCCCTTCGGACTGTTTTTTTCTACGTCCATGGAACCGTGGTTTAGTCTTGAATTAATCACCCCCACCCTCATGAAATTGGTCACGTTTCGTGGCGGACAGCTCCTGCTCCCAATCCTTTGACTACCCCTATAAGTCTCGATTTTCACCCCACCCTTAGTACCAGATCACGTCCCTGCAAAGTCTCCTACCCCCTGATTCTAGAACCGATTCCATGCTATCCCCCGATTGTATCTACGACCCCCCGACGGCCCCCTGCGCAATCATTGTACCTCTCGTGTTGTTTTTAGGCAGGGGGTGAGGGGGTGCTTTGATGGTGGTAGTACCTAGTAGACCCATCATTTCCCTAATACTTTGTATAATGGAATGGGGGTAGGGGTTATCAGCTTGTCTAAACCACCCTTCATCTTGAAACCACCCCCACGGGCGACTCAGAATCAACTTTCACCTCGATTTTGCCGGAATTCCAGAGCTCCTGTTGACCCTCTACCCACCCCCAATATGCTCGTATCGGCCAACACTGTGGAGAACCAGGACCTGGCAACCCCACCTTCATGGAGCCCTTTTACTGTTCATTGGTGAAAGCAAGAAGTCGTGATCTTACGGCTTCTGGGGCTCACAATGGACAACCCACCCCATCCAGAGTGTCCACACTGATCTGCTCAAATACGTACTGAGACGGGAAGGTAACCCCTACCCCCTATCCATCGGAGCTTCCACCGGGTCCTTGAAAAGACCCGGGGTTTTGCATGTTCATTGTCGGTCATGTTGAACACCTTTCAGTCGTCATCACGTCACGAGCGCCGGCCGGGCCCCGGGCCCGGACGATGTTCCGAAGTACGCCCTGTAGCACTCAAGCTCATTATCTGATTAGGAGAATCAGCCACAAAATCAACTTTCTCGTGTGTTTTACAAAAGCAAGAATGCGAGTTGTTGAAACTGGGAAGGGGACTTTGCGACTCATACCCCCCGCCAACCCCAGAAATGCTCTGCAGAAATGTAGTTGCTGCGAGGAGATGCGGGCGATGGATGGAGGGAGGGAGGGAGGAGGGAGGGAGGGAGGAGGTACAGGATGGGGGAGGAAACGATCAGTGAGAGTTGATGTGAGTCCTGATGGCATGATTTTGTATCTAGTAAACAGATGATCTCGACAAATAGGGAAAGGGAGATGCGAACAAAGAGATAAGCAGCGAAAAGATGCTTCAAGGACAGTAGAGCGTCAAGCGAAAACGCCGGGACCGAGAATGAAACTGTGGAAGGAGGAAGGGGAAGCTGTTGGAAGCGAGGACCATGCTTGCATTTGATATGACATGGCTTCAATGATGTACCCCTATAATGGAGTCTGTGATGCAGGCCCTCGTCTTCGGAGCATGGCGACGACGCAACAAGGGATGATCTCGAGTGCGAGCAAGATCTCTGAGCAGGTTGCAGTCCTTCTGTCCTTCCTTGGTTGTCCTGTCCACTCACAGCCAGCAGGTTCCCCTCCACCTGGTCAACCTGAGGAGTCTCTTCTCACAGATTGAGCGGGAGTTTGAACTGCTGTTCCTGTATGCCCTCCACTTGTCTCCTCAGCGCATGCTTGACTCCGGGGACACAGGGAAAACGCTCGATTGAAGACTCAGCTAAACAGCAAGGAGCCCTCCCACTCGCCCCTCTCCAGGGGCTGGGCTGAGGACAGCAGGAGTGAATCGGGAACAGATTCGCCGCTAGAAGCATCCCTCCACCAGAGGAGCAGCATGCCTGGGGACCATTCGCCAGCGTCAGAGAAGCACGGGGATGCGGAAGACTCGCCCTCCTCCTTTGTCGACCTGTCCCATCGGAGGCCCCAGCCGCAGCTGAGCTTCGAGGAGCTCGACAAGATCATGAATGCCAAGTGAGGCTGCGAGTCCCTGAGGGTGGCGATTGATGCTGTACATGCAGGAGGGACGAGAGGAACGACAAGACTGCATCGCCTGCTCGAGCTCAATCTCCTCCTAAGGGCACGAGTGGTGGGTCACAGAGGTGGAAGGGAGGGCATCCGAACAAGCCAGCGGCGCCTCCTGGCGAGGCCCAACAGGGGACGCTGCAGGCAGCGGCTTCATCGCGCGCGAGCCCAACGGCTGGGGCCCTGGGGGGAAAGGAGTCGATCGGGGAGAAGATCAAGTCTCGAGGACTGAAGTTCATGTCCAACGCTGTGGGAAGGTTCAAAGACTCGTCGATAGCGGTGACACGGGTCTTTCGTCAGGGGAACGATGATGAAGCTGTAGAGTGGAAGATGGTGGGGCAGCTGAAGGGGCACACAGATGGGGTCTGGAGTTTGACGTCAAGCTCGTGGGGAGGAAGAGGCGATGGCCTGCTGGTGAGTGCGTCGGCTGACAAGAGCGCGAAGGTTTGGTCTGCAGCCAACTACCAGGAGTTGTTCACTTTGAACGGGCATAAAGGCTCTGTCAACTCGGCCAAGTTTCACAGGACTGAGAGGATACTCTGCACAGCCTCGGGGGACCGGAGTTGCTGTGGTGTGTGCTTTGCTTTGAGCCTTGATCTTGTTGCATTCAGTGACATCTCACCCTTGTTCGCAGTTTGGAAGTTGCCTGCCCTGGACAACTTGGGCGGGGACAAGGAGGAAGGGCGGAGGAGCGACGTCAGGCGCCAGTCCCTCAAGGCCAGCCTGACGCTCTGGGGACACTCGGACGTGGTGAGCAGCGCAGCATGGATAGCGCTCTCTGACAGCATCGCAACGTCATCATGGGACAAGACGGTCAAGATCTTCGACGCGTCCGGCGCCAGCAGCAAGCCGTTGAGGACGCTGATGGGGCATGACGGGCCGCTGACGAGCATCGCCGGATCGCCCGACAGCCATCTCCTCCTCTCCTCATCGCGAGACTGCACGGCTCGACTGTGGGACGCGAGAAGCAGCTCGCACCTGGTACACGTCTTCCAAGGTCACTCCAACACCGTCACCTCCGTCCAGCTGTCGCATGACGGGAACTTGGCGGTCACAGCGAGCGACGACTGCACAGTGAGGCTGTGGGACCTCAAGGCGCGGCAGACGCCGCTGATGATGGTCAAGTGCGGCAGGAACAGCGTCAAGTCCATCAGCTTCGCCCAGAGGTCAGGTATGATCTCTGCCGTGCTGAGCAACGGGACCGCACGGGTCTACAACATCGAGGGCGTCAAGGTCGGGGTCCTCAAGGGCTCCCCCGAGGAGGGCACGACTCGCAGCAAGAACCCCAAGTACCTGGCATGCACGACGTGGGGCAGGGAGGAGGAAGCGATCTTTACGGCCGGTTTTGATCCCTGCCACATCGATTGCTGGAAGATGCTGCCGTAGAGAAGGGGCGGGTCGGTCCCCCTGGTCGATTCTGAGCTGACGACGGGGATATTACCGTCGTCTTCCACTTCCTGTTGTGCTCTCTTGTTAAGAATTCCCTTGCTGCTGTCTTGCTTATATTGTTCTATTAAACATTACAAAGTCTGCATGCGCTGCTGAAACAGACTTGGCTCCGCCTTATTCTTCGTCCCTCCCCTTAATCTCACCCTCTCCCTCCTCCGCCCGCCTCCGTCTCCTCCCCCTCCCTTGCTAGTCCTGCCCGTCTCCCCCCTTCCGTCCCCTCCCGCACTCCCGTACACCTCATGGATTCTTTTATTAGACCTCCGGCCCCTTTTCGCTCCCCTGTCCCCCGATCGGCCTCGCCAACAGGGCCGGCGGTCGTTATGGCAGACAGAGGAGGAGGAGAAGGAGGAGGAGGAGAGGAGAACACTGCTCCTCGGAGGTCGCAGAGTGTGATAGCAGAGACATGCGGGAAGGAGCTGGAGGACTTCCTCAACTGCTCCTGCCATGTCCCTGAGAGGTTCTGACGATGACGATGGTGATGTCCGAGATTGTGAGATTTCTTCGCAGCTCGGAGCAGAGGAGGTTGTGCTCGAAGCTCATGTGCAAAGGTGAGGAAAGCAGAGCACGTCGATGGACAAGAGGAGGGGAAGAGGAGGGAGATGAGGGGAGGGAGAGGATGGCGAGGAACATGGTAGGGGAGGGAAGAGAAGAGGAAAGCCGGGGAGGAGAGAGGGGAAGTGAAGGAAGGAAGGGATAAGTCTTGTTGGCTCAGAGTTGGAGAAGGGAATTCGAGAATGCACGGCGAAGAACTTGAGGGACGCGCTGCAGGAGGTGCGAGAGCGAGGTTGGGATGCTGGCAGGTAACCGGGCTGCATGCAGGTTGAGGGAGCTTGTACGAACGAGCTGGATGCGTTTGTGGGTGGAGGAAAGCAGGAGGGAGGGAGCTGACAGGGATGGCTCAGGTCAGGTGCTACGCTAGTACCACCAAGGACGGCTCGTCGGCCCTGTGCAGCGACATGCGCACAGCGCTCAGCGTGAGTGCCTCGTGCAGGAGGGAGACTGGCCGCTCCTCTTCCTCCCTCCTGAGCTCTCCTCCCCGCTCTGATCGCCTCCCTCCCCTTATTCCCTTCGTCCTCTCATCGTCCTCCCCGTTAGGTCTGCGCCACTCGGGTGCTGGGTCCTCGTTCTCCTCTCTTCACTCAAGGGCTCGGTAGACGTCTTCCTGCCCCTCCTCGCATGCTGACGCGCAGCCTCTGCAGACCATCCAGCGTCCCTCGTGCAGTATCGCATCGCTACCGGCCAGACGATCCTGGACTGATGAGACGGGCCGGCGCAGTCTCGAGCCGCTCGAGTTCTCCTGCTGAGGAGGAGAAGAAGAGAGCAAGGTCGAGGACGGGCGCCAGTTGCTCGTCTGTCCTCGTCGTCCCCTGGATCAAACATCCAACATCCGTAGGAATAGACGTGTGCTCGAGGACGGTGTGGTCGTAAGAGATGCGGAAATGAAGGCAGGGCTGACAAGCACCTCTGTCAGCAGACACATCCTCCCTGGGAGAGCTGGCGTACCTGACCCTCGCATAGCTCACCATGAAGGAGGTTGAGGTAGAGAATTTTCCAGCGGATCTCTCCTGCTGTCCGCTGGTGCTCAATCTTGACAAGCTCTTGTACGGGCACATCGAGCTCGTGGAAGACGATGCGCAGCACCTGAAACGCTGACGTCAGCTGTGACATTGACAACCAAACGACTACTTTGTCCACAGGAGCGACAAACTCCTTAAGGGAGTTCTCGAGGATGTACGAGGCCCCATCAACAGGGACAATCCACTGACAAAGAGATCAGGGGGGGAGAAACGTAGGAAACAAATCTCCTCACAGATTTCAGACCTAGAGCTTTGACTGTTAGGTGACTTGACATGATAGTTCCCTCCCCCTTCCCCACCAGAGCTACTCAAAGTTGCGTCACACAACGTAAACATGCGGAGATCTTCGAGCCCGACCCGGACATACTTCGATCATGGTGGTGCCACGGCGGGCAAAGACTGCTGAGTACACCTGCGAGCACGGTCTCCACCATGAAGGGCAAGTGGAGGAGAGTTGTTACGTGTGTGCCATGAGGAGTCACGATGATTGAAGCCTGACTGACTGCCGCTGCGACTTGAAGCAGAGAGTGGCTCCTCTGCTCGCTCTGTATGACCTCGATCCTACCCGTCGATGATGGCATCTGTCGAACCCGAAAATCCTCAGGAGGTGAGACCGGCAGACGCATTTCAGCAACCTTTCTAGCAAGGACTTGAGCTGCCCATTGAAGTGACTGAGCGAGCTCTTTGCTGTTGAGCATGCACCTGCTCCTCTTCCTGCAACTTTCTAGAGTCCCTCTGCTCATTCAAGCCTCAATCAACCTCTCGTACAGATGTAGACTCCCCTTACCGCACGAAGAGAACGATGCTGGGCCAGCCACTGTGCATCCTCCTCGAAGAGGAGTGAGCCTCGGCATACGAATCGTCCTGGTAGCAGAGCTCGCATGTCGCATCGCCAGTAGAAGGCAAACGCAGCGAGTCAAAAGCTCTGCACAGGTCACGGTGCTGATTCCTGTGCCACATGGGAGACTCGATGGTGTGGAAAAGCCTTCGAAGCAGCAGCGAGAAATCCTTCTGTAATCCCTTTAGTGAGGATGGGAAACGTTTTCCTTCACAAGTCACCTGCACCAGCCTCAACGCATGTGGGATGGTGACACCGATTTCAGGAAACTGCTCAAGCTGAGATCAGCTGCATGTTTTCAGTGAGCGAGAGAAATCGAACAGAGGGGTAAGTATCGCTGATCAGGAGCTCCTTCACCATGAAGTAGTGCGAACATTCTCTTCCATTTCCTCTGCACCCGCGTCAGCAGCAGTTGAAAGCACCACTGCCTTGTATTGCGAGACCTGAGGCAGTTGGAATCCATGAAATAAAGCCTGGCAAGAATGTCACCGCAAGCAATGTCGATGTGAGAAAGACCTTTCGGAGAAATCCAGATCTTCTCCCAGCAGCGATCGGATGAGAGGCAGGATGTTCGGTTGCGAGTTTGACTCCATGATCACACTACCAACAGTCAGCTGGCAACAGCCTCCATGCAGAATCTCAACGTACTCGAACTCAGTCCCGGCAGGTAAAGCGTGCACAGTGAAAGCGAGCTTGTAGACCAGGTCCTGTATGAAATGAGCCCAAAACCAGCCGAACCTGCGAACAAGCAGAAGAGCTCTAACACCATGGTCAGCTGCAAACTCGGCTCAAGATGTATTTCACCTTTCTACTGGAACAACTGGAACATCGGTGACAGCACTCTCACTCCAATCGCATCCATGAGGTACTGGAGGATACCACTGGTGGCGCCCGAAGGCTGTGATCGGAGGCTCAACCCCGTTACAGCTCACTCCATCGGCTACAACCATGTAGTTGTGCAGGCAGACCAAGAACATCCCTTGCAGTGAGAGCTCTTGGGGGAGCATGGCTTGGCGGTAACGGGTGAGAAACAAGCACACAGAAAAATGAAGCTTTTGCAAACCTCCAGGTATTCGCTCATCGAGCAAGGAACAGTCTTCTTGCAAACAAAGAGTCGAATCGAACACTCTTTCGGACTCTTGAAACTCAACCTGAAAACAGCATTCAGTCATGACTTGCAACCGTCAAGGCACCTTGGCAATCAACAGCCCAGAGCGGTTGATGAAGTCCTGGTGGTCCACAAGGCTCGAGAGATTGATATTGTTCCCGATGAGCGACGTTTCCAACACTTTCTTTCTGCTCGGACCTTTGCATACATGCAGACTTTCCGTGGATTGAGAAGCTCGAATCAAGACGTCAGCCATTTTGCTTTCCAGACTCAAATGTTCACAGACAGACGCATGAGCGTTTTGAACGATCTGCAGCCTCGCGCCCTCATCCTGCAAGTAGTGATCAACCAAGCCTTCAAGGCTAAGGAGCGAATCAGATTTGAACTTGATCACTTCAGAGCCGTTGACAAGATCTAAATCAAGCCCCTCCACCTCGTTGCACATCACAAACGCTCCCATTGCCAAAGCCTTGTACACCTGATACATCCCTCCTCCTCTGCAGCGAGGAGTATCATCCTGTGACTCGGTGTTGCTCTCGAGGATGATGATGACAATCTTTGACTGTAAATACAATGACTTGAGTTCTTCTTCGATCAACCAGTCGCCTTGCAGTCGAAATCTGATCTGACTCTTTGATTTGAGAAAGGAATACAATGCACACACCAGAGTACGACTCTGTCGTTGACTTCGGCAGCTTTCTTCTTCAAAATATGGGAAGTAAACAAGGATGTCATAAGAATATTCCGTATGAACGAGATGCTCTTCGTTATGGAGCATGTTCGCGCATAAAGTGCTGCTAACATAACGTCCAAACCACTCAGGAGAGGAACCGAGTCTGAGCGACTCTTCAACCTCTGCATCCCAAAAATCCACAAGAAGTTGATCGAAGTGCAAGGGAGGCCAGTCAGAGGTCAAGTTCTGAACCGTGCGATGGAAATCAAACAGCACTGATACCGTATGAACCCCACGCGCCCTGCACTCCTGCACAACTCGGAGCATATCTTTCGGAGCATGCCTTCCGGGAGAGTAGAAGAGGATGCTAGGGCTGAAGTTGTGTATGTGAGCTAAGATGTCTTTGACATCAACTTCATCCTCCTGCAAGACCATCACCTCCTCTACCAGCGAGATGCGATCGAGGCCGTTGACCCAGCTCACATCCGGCGCCTCATGGCAGAGGCAGTCGCCAATCCAGATCACTCGGATCAGGGAGCCGAAGGGAACTCCCGTGCCGCTCGAGAGGCCATGGGAGGATCTCCCTTGTACATTGAGAGCACATGATACCAGGACTGATACGACCAACCCCCCCCAGCTCCGCATCCTCCCTCGTTGCTACGCCATTCCTTGATAACCCCCGTGTATCCGTACGTACCCCATCTTTTCATGGGTCAGGGACCGGTGGTCACCCCACAAACTTACCCGGGTGCAGAGGCATGCAGCAGACAAACGCAAACAACCGATGAATGTATGGATCGTTCGATGTGAAAGTGAGTAGAATGACAAGGTTGTTGAGGAAGAGTGCTGGAGACTGTGCGGAGAAGTATAGGAGAGGTCGGGAGGAAAGGATGAGAGAAGAGTGGAAGAGCAGAGGAGGAAAGGAGGAAGAGTGGAGGAAGGAGCACGAGAGCACGAGAGCATGACAGCACGAGAGCATGACAGCACGAGAGCATGACAGCACGAGAGGACCATCGCGAGCAAGGGGGCAGAGGGGGTTCATTTTGCTGGTTGGCCGCTCACAACTCACAGGGTTCTGGCACTTTGCCGGGACGATGGAAGGTAGAGCATCGAGTTGTTTCAGGATGAGGCGAATCTGTTGTACAACCTTGGATAACAAGATAGAAAATGGAATAATCAGGAGCTGTGTTTACTGGAACACAACAAATAAAAGCACGCTACTTGCTACTGCTGCTCTCTTGGAAGTGAAACTCTACCATGTGGTCCGGGGTACCAGAGAATTGTACGAATGAAAGTAACATAGTCACAGACAAGGACAGGATGGGAGATCGAAAAGCACTAGATGGTTTTCTCTGAAATGCTAAGGAAAGATGGCGGGAGAGGCAGACTGTAGCAAGCCTGAGATAGGGCACTCGTGGCACTGCTGATTGAAAGCCTCAAACATTTTTTACATTCAGGGAAGATAGCCTTGCACTGGTGTACAACTGGTATCTGCTAGAAGATTTGCACGTCGAGACATGGTTTTCTTTCCATAAGCTGCTTCTCGTGTATCTTGCCTGTAGCCTTCATCAGAAGACTTGACTCTGTCCCTCCCCCGCTCCTGCGTCTTCTCCCCTCCCCTCCCCTCCCTCCCCTCCCCTCCCCTCCCCTTGTTCACTTTTCCCCTCCCCTCCCCTCACTCCCCTCCCCTCGTTCACTTCTCCTCTTCCCTTTCCTTCCCTCTCGGCTCGCTCCCCGTCTCCATTGCTCTGGGGGCAGTCCCTGTTTCCTCACCTTCGACGTTCTCGTCGATTCTGATGGTATACAAGTTTAGGTACCTTTGACAAGACTACCCCAGTCGTACCCACCACCACCCCTACCACACCGAGAAAAAAAAAAAAAGAATAACCAGTGGTACGCTATAGCCCTGCATTCTTGCCCTACCTTCTATTCCTCGAACTTCACCCCTCACCCCCCCTCATGCCCACCGTGAACCCTGGTCATCTCCCTGGTCATATTACCCCTGTCCGTAACGGCCCCCTTTATCCCCCCTTGAATCACCCCCACCTTCTAGCGCAAACTATTCCTCCATTATGGTTTACACCCCACACTACCCTACCCCATACGCAAGCTGTCATCATGTCGGTCGTAGTGAGTCCTAGGGGGCGTGCATAGTGCATACAAAAGCCAGGGTAGGTGATGTCCAAACTGAGGAAGAAGGGGGTAGGGGGTGGGAGGTCACAGACTACTGGGGAAGGATGGCAGGAGCAGCAGCAGCGACGGCGGATCGCTCGGGGGGGGAAACAGCCAAGGCATGGTTCACCTTCTTCATCGTCTCCTTGGCAGCAAAGCTTGTAGGACCTTTCTTTCCGCGCATCGGGTTCCCTCTCATCACAGGATACATCGTGACGGGAATGGTCGCAGGACCCTACGCATTAGAGATCGTGAAACAGGCCGATGTCAACGATCTCTCTTACATCAACATGGTTGCTCTGGCGTACATCACTACCTCAGCAGGAGCAGAACTTCACATACCAGAGCTGAAGCCACTGATCAAGGCCTTGCTTGCACAGACGACCGCAATTGCAATTATTACCTTTGCTCTGGAAACTGTCGTCGTTGGCCTTCTTTCGAGCACATCTCTCCTCTCATGGATAAATCCCTTTCCTTCACAGTGCAGATGGGCGGTTGCTACTATCATGGCTTCTATCTGCATAGCTAGAAGTCCAGCGACAGCCATTGCGCTTGTCAAGGAAATGCGATGCAAAGGCAAAATGACTTCCACCATGTTAGGCATCACCGTGCTATCTGATCTGTTCGTCTTGATCAGTATTTCCATAACAACTTCATTCGGCATGTCTTCTTGCAAGGGTCTGCCGTTCCAAGGCGCATCTTTGGGCATTGTGATTGCGATGATCATCGTCTCGATCTTGATCGGAGTAGTGATTGGCTTTGTCTTCATGGGCCTCATGATGTTCAGCAGATTTGAAATGAATGCCTTGATCTTTCCTCTCGGATTCCTCGTATTTCTTGGGAGCAGCGTGTTCACAACTGAGGTCTCGAAGCGGGTGCCGGAGGATAAGCAGATGCATCTTGAACCCCTCTTGATGTGCATTGTTGGAGGGTTCATTTGTGTCAACTTCAGCTCCTTTCACCATCGCTTCTGCGATGCTCTACAAGTGGCGGCCCCCTACATCTTTGTTCCCTTCTTCACTTTGGTTGGAGCAAGTCTTGACCTCAAGACCTTCGCAGCTTCTATAGGGTTTGCACTCATCGTCGCGCTCGTGCGAGCCATATGCATCTTCACCGCAACCTCTTCCACAGGCTGGCTGGTGGGGCAAGAGAAAGCAACGAACCTCACGATCTGGATGACGCTGATATCCCAAGCCGGATTCTCCCTTGGTCTTGCATCAGAGATTGCTCACAAGTTCGAAGATTGGGGCAGAAAATTTCAGGCTGTAATCATTTCTATCGTTGTCATCAATCAGATGACTGGGCCTGTGCTCTGCAAACTTGCACTGCGATGGTCGGGAGAAGCAGGACGAGCGACTGGAAACGAAGCTCACGAAGAAGCTGAAGCGGATCCTCATGCTGTACACAGAGCTGACAAGTTCAAGGCCTTGATCCTTGGCTGTACGTCTTCGTCCAAGGCTGTATCCATGAATTTGCTGCGTGAACGATGGGGTGTTGTTATGTTGACATCCAATCAATGTGAAGCTGAAGATGTCAGCAAAGTGATCAGCGAATGGGCGGTAAGATGTTCATCGTGTCATTGCAAGCTGAGCTCACAAGTGTGTTTTTTGTGCAGGAGGAGACGAGGACCGAAGAAATCAATCAAGCGCTTCAGAGTGGTCTTGATCCACCTGTGTTCCCAGCTGTGCCCATGGAAGAGTCCTTCAAGGCTCTGCCAGTCACAAAGGATAACAACACCACACCCTTCCAGCGAAGCAACTCGCTTGACAACCTCGTCAACTCGAACCTCTCTGCCGATGAAGTGATCGCGGAGAACGGCGAGGAGAGTTTCGACCAGGCAAGAGTCACCCCGCGCAAGTCGAAGGAGCTACAGATGGATCCTCTTGTCCCGCAGAGCCCGAAGATGCCTGAGGGAGACGGTTTCAATCGCGCCCAGTCCTACATCAGCCATCAACTCGAAGTCGAACTTCAGAACCTCCCGACATGCGAGGAGAAGCCGCTTGCTCTCAGCGGTCCCGACTACCTCGAGAAGTGCAAGGACTTGTTCGCTGTGATGGACAACATGGACGGACTTCGAGTCATCATCTTGGCACTCTTGGACGACCTGCAGGCCTTGGCTCTGCTGGAGTCCATCCAGGAGCATCTGTCCTCCAGATCTGAGTATCAGAACATCCGTTACATCGTCTTGATGAAGGAAATAAGGTGGGCAGAGGCCTTCACCATGTTGGACGCGGTAGCCTTGCACGAGTTTGTCAGTTCGACAAAGGTAGCGGTGGTGGCGTCGGTGACCTCGGACAACAACCCCTTCACCATCGCCCCAGCCTGTAGCGGTGCAGGAGCTGTCAGCGACGCGTTCTTGGAGTTCTTTGATGGCCCGATGATCTCCAAGTGCTCTCCCACCAGCTTTCCGTGAGTTTCTTGTTAACGACCTTCACTTGGGTTTCGCATGACCGAACTTGTTGCAGGGCGAGCCACGACTGGACGAGCGGAGTCGATCGGATCAACCTCAAGCTCATGACCATGCTGCGAGAGAGGATGCAAGTCAGGAAGACGAGGGCATCGGGCGGTCGGATGCTCCGAGCCATCGAGGACTTCATTACCAGAAATCTTCCAACACCAGCAGCGACTCCCATGCTGAGGCCCATCAATGCCGTCAGAACGCTGACGTCGACGCCTCCAGCCACTCCAAGCCTGAGGACAAGAGCTGCTCACATCAATTCCTTGCCTCCGCTGCAGGACCTCGAATCCACGGTCGTGACTCCGGGGGGTGAAGACAGAGTTTGAGAGCCGGTCACCTTCACTTGGTTCTGTTGCAGTTTTGAGACAAACTTGGCCGGAGAGGACCAGAAGGTTTATGCCTTCAAGCTCATGTGTAAATTCCACATATCAAGCGTCAGCAGACTCTACAGTTTTACCGAGCCCTCCAAGGCCCTAGCCTTCATGGTTTTGGAATCAAGTTTTCCGAGTTCGAAGGATGCAGCTCAACTTGATCATCTGAGCTAAACCAGACTCCTGCCACAGATCCTTATTGATCGCATTTAAGTTAGATTTTACTTTCCTTTTGTCATGAAACGAGTGTCACCCAGGGAGGCTCTCCTGTCTGGCCGGGCCGAGCGACTCTGCCGCAGTGCGGCTCCGGGCCGCCGGGCCGGCCCGGCCCGGCCCGGCAGTTTCCTATTATCCCAGTCGTCCGCACGCCTTTTCAAATTCTGCTGCTCATGAAAGAAATGGGAAGCGATAGGACGGGGGACTGGGGGGAGGCAACACAGGAGAAAGACTGAAAATGATGAATGGTCAGGGTACAACCAATGACAGTCTCGTATAGTAGGAACAGGATAACATTGGATTGAATTCGAGCTTGAGATTCGAGAGTAACGAGCAGCATGCAGAAAAATCTTGAGAATGTCCTGACTTTTCACTGTGTTTTGTGGCAGGAAATTCTTCAGGAGATGGACTTCGAACTAGTGACAGCTGAAGAAGCTGCATTGTTAGATATGACAGGTTCGTCACATCAGGGAGGAAATCTACCCCTGGCTGACTCGTTACGTAGAGAACATCTGTATGCAAAAAGCTCAAATCAAGAGCTCAGTTGCTGTCTTCCGGCATACCTCAAACAAAGTTCACCGCAACGATCCTTACGTTAAAGACGGCAACATAAAAACATGCCAGCAACCTAGCTCAGTAGAGATGCAAAGCAGAAAACTTACTGAAGGTAACATTTGTCCTACAAACGCCCCGCCTTCTAAAAAACCTAATGACAATTCCTCAGCCTCGTCCGATGTCCAATATTTGAACGTGGTAAGCATGTGGATGTGACAATCTGCTATTTCAATGATGGCTTCTCATTTGAAATCCAGTCGTGTGTTCCTTCGTCCCATTTGAACTCGAATGCTCATGATATGAACCTTGTCGGAAAGCAACATCAACCGGCTATGGCAGGTAATTCAGTTCTTGCACAGGAGGATATTTTGTGAAGGGAAAACACAGTGTTAGACGATGCAAGAAACTTTAACAACAGTACTTCGTCCATCCTACCTCTATCGACGGCATCAGAGAGATCGCAGTACCAGAAGACCATCAATGAGATTTTGGAGAGATCGGACGTAGAGTTCGTGGGGGGGAAACGAATCGTGAAGCGAAGTGGCTGGAGAAAACTTGCCTTTGCTTTCAATGTGAGCTTTGAGATGAGGTGTGTGTTGATTTTCTTTTATCTTATTGCTCTTTTGAAAGCAGTTGACGTAGCTGCAGGTCTGAAGACATCGAACGTGACAGGGAAGGTGTGATAGAGGTTCAAGTGCGAGTGAACGATATGACGTCACATGGCAGGCAATGTCACATACGCCAAGTTCGTTCATCGAGCAATCTTACCCAACGGAAGATTCGCTGACGCATGGGGTGCCTGCGATGCAAGGGAGAAGCGTTTCATGAAGCCAAATCATGACGTGCCAGCAACGGCTGAGACACGCGCAAAGAACCGGGCATGTGCTGATCTTTTCGGGATCGGAGAGTCGAAGCGCTGAGACACAAGATAGAGGGAGGAGTGACTTCTTCGTTCTGCAGCTTTCAAACATGATATGGTACATTCAAACAGCACTTAATTCTGCTACTACTTCCGGGAAAGTTCCTTCTAAGTTGTTGCCATGTAAATCCATGCTCTTCAATCCCTGGACATCCAACAGAGTCTCAACGCGAGATGCTGGTAGAGCAAATTCACATCTCACCGGCATCGCTGCACTCTGCTTGATCTGAAACTGGGCAAAGGACGCCGGGATGGTCCCGGTGAGGTTGTTGTAGGAGAGGAAGAGCATCTCCAGCCTAGACACACACATCAGCGGAAGAAGCTGTGATAATGTCTCTAACACCTCGGAGCATTTACAAGCTCCCCGGGAATCGACCCATTCAAACGATTGTCGGAGAGAAAAAGCTGCCGCAAATGTCAGGACAAGCTCTTCATCCAAATCACTTGTCGGACGTTCTGTAAGAGGGGAAGGCTCCCGAACGAACTTGGGATGCCGCCAGTCAATCGATTCGAGCGAAGGTCCCTTGAGCAGCAGGTCACATGGAGGTGGAGAACTAGAGGCTCTCTGCCATGGTAGCAAACACTTACACTGAAGTGAGGTTTTGCATCTGACCAATGCACGATGGGATCACGCCATTCAGCTTGTTCAGAGCAAGGTTCCTAAGACTGAACATCATCGAACGAACCCGCGAGTCATCAAGAACATACAAGTTCTGAAGCTCGGACAAGGCACAAAGAGAAGGGGGAAGCTCTCCTTGTAGAGCATTCCTGGTCATGTACCTGAAGCCCTTTAGATAAAGAAGATTTTCCGAGCAACTTACAGTGACTTTAAACTGGTGAGGTTTCCAAGGTTCCACGGCAAACTTCCGTTGAGTCCCAGGTCTGCCAGGAGCAGTGAAGTGACCTGTTATTGATCAAAGCACATGAGATACGTTCCAGGAGCAAGAGAGAGATCAGGAAAAGTGATGGTGATGGTGATGATGATGACAACGACGACGACGACGATTGGGAGGAGGAGGAGGAGGAGGAAGTGATGGAGGAGGAGGGCAATAAGTGGACTAGGGCGACGTGAATACGTGCGAGGGCGAAGAAGAAAACGAGGAGGCACCTTTCTATTGCTCCCTAACAACGTGCCAGAGCACGTTACCCCCTTGAAATAGTCGGAGTCGTCGCATGGATCCATGTTCAGTTCCCATCCCTGTGACGCTAACGTAAGATACACGCCAGAGTGACAGCATCGACTGACTTGCGTCCAAGCAAAGCTCTGCCGCCATTGACTCCCAATCGTCAGATTGTATAAGGCTACCAAGACCTCCTCTGCATTGAATATAAGGGAGAACGAGTAAAAGTTCATTTCTCACTGTCTGTCGGCGCAATGGGAGCATAGCACAACGGCAAGAAGAGCAAGAGAATAACAGCATTGAGGTACACCAAGAAGATGAGACCAGAACTGTTGGAGCGCTGCATGGCCGTCGTCATAACCGAATCCTCATCCGCCCGCCGCCATGCCGTACAACGCAAGGTGTACGGGTCCGCCTCGTAGTGAATCACATTCGCTCTAAAGTTTCAAATTTCATAATAATATTTGAAAAATTGGCTTGAAGACCTTTGCTGGCCGGCGGGGGATGAGGGACCTGACTGCCACATAAACGTAAGCACGAAAGATGAAATTTCGTGAGGGCGAGGATGGAAGGGAGGGAGGGAGGGAGGGAGGGAAGGCAGGAAGAGAGGAGAGGAGAGGAAGGAGTCAGGAGACGGTGAGGGAAGAGGAGAGGGTGGTTGGGATGGTGGATCCAAGGAGAAGAGGGAAGGAAGAGGGAATGACGACGGTGACAAGGGGATAGAGGGTTGGCACGTGAAATTGAGAGCACAGAGACGGGAAGGACCACTCGAATCGATGTAGAGACAGCGGCAGAGAGGGATGGGGAGGGAGGGGGAGGAATGGGTTGTAAACTGAGAGTTATGTGAAAGAGAGGTAAGGCCTTCAGTTCAGGACAGTTTTGAAGTAATAGGCGACGGAAAGAAAGCACAGAGAGAATAGAAACCCCATCACTGAGTTGAGAGATATTGTATGGTATCGATGTGCTGATGTTGTTTCATGCCAGTACCCCCAGGATGGTAGCAGAAGCGATGGCAGGATTGGCGTGGGGTGCGACGTTCAAGTAAGCGATTGTTCCACGACTTGGCATATTCTGAGTTTGATCAGATTCTGGGACGCGAGTACTTGGTCCATGCCAGAGGTTTTTAGCAGGAATCTGTGAATGCAACATGCCGCCTCACTCGTTTCTACCAGTATGCCTTGTGGTCTGTGGTGATCCTGTTGGGGCTGGAGCTGATGAGCTACCTGGTGAATGAGATTCCTCAGAGGTTTTTCAACCCATCCGCCATCCCCATCAGGTCTGAAACCCTCGACCTCACTGAAGGGCTGTGATGGAGAAGCGCAGAGGGAAGCACCTGGACGTGCTATCATGGAAGGATATCAGTTTCATCACGTGGAACAAGTTCACCACCACGTGAGTCTCGTTTCTCTTGCAGTCGCAAATGACCCTCCTTAGGTTGTTCACCTATCACGCCCTTCGTTTCTGCTGGCTTAGCCCGCGGATCGCTTGGGTGTCTGCACGATTGGCTGATCGACTTTCAGGCCACTGACAACGCTGATGCAGGGCTGGTCTGAGATGACAATTTTGAATACAGTCATCGCTTTCTTCTCATTGTTTGGTGACTTTTATCCTTCACCTGACTTGTACATCTCAAGTGCTTGTGGGCAGTGGTTTACGATTTCTTCTACTGTATCTGGCACAGAATATTACACGTCAGGGGGCTGTACAAGTACGAAAAGATATCATGTCAAATGAAGAACTGAGTTTATCTGCAGATTCATTCACAAGCACCATCACCATCAGGTCTGTCTTCACGTCTTTCCTCTTCCCCCCTGATGCCTTGCCTGGGTTAGGCTGCGCCATCCCGAGGGAACGCAGGTGGATGAAAGCAATGGCGGAAAGGCTCCTGCTGACTTGCGGCAGATGCCGTGAATGTTCATCCGATTGAATTCATCGTGGGGGAATACTGCCACCTCCTCGCCATCTTCATCATCCCGTAAGGCTGGTGTTGAGAGAATTGAGTCTCTCACATCTCAACAGATGCCATGCTGTTGTTGCTGCTGTCTTCGTCGTCCTGGGAGGGATTCTGGCATCTCTCAATCATACGGTATCTTCTCTTCCTATTCTTTGCGCTCCTTTCCTCTACTCTCCTCTCCTTTACTCTACTCTACTCTGCTCTACTCTACTCTACTCTACTCTACTTTCGTGTTGATCCTGCTCGTGGTAGCGTTACGATATAGCGGTACCGCTGCTGTTCGATACGAAAGCTCACGACCAGCACCATGTTATCCCGACAGTCAATTACGGACAGTGAGCTTGAGATTGCATGTAATGAGTGTGTTGAACGCAAAGCAGGTACACGATGCTGTGGGATCGAGTGTTTGGAACTTACGTTCCTCATCCTCTGTCGTCACGTCCTAAGGCAGAATGAGATTGGTTCACACCTTTGCCCAGCTGCTTTCTCTATGTTCAACTGTATTAAGTGTAAAGTGAAAGAAGACACAAACGTTAGTGGTCATGGTCTGCCAAGGACTTCATCAGCCGTGCTGTCATCTTCTTAGTCTTGCTGTACGCGTCCTGCACTGACAGTTACCTCTCCTGCTTCCTCCCTCCCTCCCTCCGCTCACCATCGCCCCGAGAAGCCGCACGTCTCCTTCCTCCACAAGTTTCCTGCACTTTGCTACCTCATCTTCGCCAAGGACGTCCTGTTGAGGCGCGTCAACTTTGACAAACACGTCGCTGACTTACCTTGAAGTCTTGGAAAGTATCCGCATCCTCCGCTCCCTTGTGCTTGACAGGCGTCAGATCCTGCTCTGCCTGCAAGACATCCGCAGGCTGCACGAGCTCGCGAGCTCCGTGTCTTCTGTTAAGGGCAAATCGCCCGATCATGCAGAGAAGCTGTATCCCTACGGCAGCGACGGCGCACAGGATGGGAGCGAAGGTAAGCCAGTACTGGAGCGTCGTGTTGTCTGCGACACGGTGAGCTGCGGCAAGCGACCTGGGAGCTTCTCACCTGGAGGTGTGAAGCTTGCTTTGATGTTAACTTTCGTGTTCCCAGACCCGACCAGCCTCCTGGAGTTCTGCACGGACAGAGTCTGCGGGCTCAAGGATCGTCTGGCGGAGGCTCCGGCAGCCTGCAGCTGTTTGTTGGTCAGCGGCAAGAGTTCTGAGAGGCTCAAAACCTGCTCGTAGCACGCGTTCGCTCGAGCTTGTCCAGGATCCATTTGCAGCGATCCGAGCCCCGAGGTGTCGAAGAAGCACTGGACGTAGGTAGAGTTGTGCTTGACCTGAGCAGCCGTCACCATCGAGCTGGAGGCAAGGAAGACGCACCTCAGGAACGAAGGAGCCCTCGTTGAAGGGGAAGTAGACGATCTGATATAAGCCGTAGTACGGGAGACCGGTAGCCGGGTTAGTGGAGGAACCAGATGGTCCGACGGCGTAGCTGATGGTGATACCAACGTTTGTGTCCTGATTCCCTCCCAAGCACGGCAAGGTTGCGTCGTTGCCGACAGTCTGGCACAGCTCGAAGACGATGTCTTCCGAGCCGCTGGGATAGGCTGTGGGGTCTACTCGTAGGAAGTTGCCGTACTTGTCTCTGGTTTGCACGTACAAGGTTGAAGTCGCACCGGCAACGACGTTGAGGAGATCTCCGTACACGTAGGTCAGCGCGATCTCAGCTGGAGCGCTGGCGATCTCGAGCATGAAAGGAGATCCAGCTCCGCTCACCCCGGCGAAGGAGATGGAGACCATGTAGCTTCCTGATTGCGTCAAGCGGTAGGTCGTGCCGTAGCTGCCGTCAGCGTTGTCGACGACGTTTCCTGTGTTGGGGGAGGCCGAGGGGTTGAGAGGAGCTTGAGAGACTACATTCCACAGCGTCAGCAGCACGGAGACGGAGTCTCCACCGGGCCTTCGGTTGAGAAACTCGTCTCGAGCAGTGATGATGAAGCTTGACGACGTTCCTGCCGTCGAGATGGTGAGGAAGGTTCCCCGCGCCACAGAAGAGGACGGGGAGGTGACTGCCGGGGACACCACGAGGGTGTATGGGTTTGGATTCGTCTGGCTTGCGCTCGCATCGCCAGCAATGAGGTCCTGGTACTCCTGCCCCCCATTGCCGACGTAGATGGAGATGGTGTAGGTTCCGGCCTTGACGGGCGAGTATGCGGACTGATAGCTTCCCGAGCCAAGGGAGATGGTGGACGGGGACATGCTGGGGAGGTTGGTCCCTGTGACGTCGATCCTGAATCTAGCTCCATCTGCGCTTCTACCGAAGACGTCCTGCAACAAGACCATCGCAGGTCACTAGCACGCGCTGACCTCCGGCAGGTCTCACCCGACACGACAGCGAGAAGAAGGATTTCGATCCTGCAACCGCAGCCGTGAGGCCATCGCCACTGGCGCGGCAGCTCTTGTAGAAAGGCGTCTTGGTCTGGAACACGAAGAGGTCGCTGCTGTCCTTGGGCACGTCATCGACCACTTGTGTCCCTCCCTGCCCACCACAGGCGTCAGCACACTTGCAGCTTGAGAGTCACTCGGCTCACGAAGATGTAGATGTAGAGGTTGATGCTGTCGAGCTTGATGCTAGACGCGATGCTGCCTGAAGGCTTGCTGCCCGGAACATCCACCTGAGAACCTTTCAGCATGCCGAGCGACAGGAGCAGGTCAGCGTACCAGCACCCATGTCAGGCTCGTCGTGCACTTGCCTTGTTGGACGCAGGTAGAGTCGAGGTTGGTAAGGTTGAGATACCTGGGCGAGCTTGGAGGTCAGAGAACCCTCGAGGTGCGGAGTCGCTGCGATCAGGTACCATAAGTCGTTGAACGCCGTCGCGTAGGTGGGGAAGTTTCCGTTCATCAGGTCGTACATGCCTGAGCCGACGCATCCTTTGGCGTTGCCGCATCCGAACCCTCCATACACCAGCAGAACCCCGTTGCTGCTCGCTGAGTTGGACATGGTGGTAACGGCAGCATCCCTCCTCGCCTGGGGGCAGGCGCCTCCAGTGTGGCATGAGGTGTAGAGCTTGGCAAAGGTCGCCTGCTTGGAAGAGAAGAAAGTCGTGTGGACGTCGGAGCTGAGGTCCCATGTCGCGGTTCTGTTGGCGAGGTCGGTGGACTCTCCGCCGAACATCATCAGGAGGAGGAACTGGGCAACATGGTCTGAGCCAGGGCCGCGAGAGCTCAAGGGGACTCACCTTTCCCTGCAGGTTCACAGACACGGTCGAGTGTCCATGCAGCGGCCCTGGCAGTGAGCAGCTGGAGGTGCCCGCAGTACAGCCAGTGGGGTTGGAGGAGCCATAGCAGTAGGTGACTGACGAGGGCGGGGAGGTGAAGTTCTGACAGATGCCTCTCATGCACGCGCCTGCACACAGATGAACCAGTCAAGTCAAGGACAAGAGGGCGCGAGCGAGGGCGCTTACCTGACTTGCAGGAGCTCAGCTGGGAAAACTGTGCTGCTCCTCCAATCATGTAGTACTGCCCCAGATAGCTTGTCTTGGACCAGGTGGAGGTCTGCAGGAAAGAGTTGTTTGTGGCGTACGACCGCGTCATGTAAGTCTGCAGACTGTTTTGCCAGGAGGATGAGTCACTCAGACGTGTCATGATCTGGCGGAAGAGATCGCTTCCGGTGACGAAGGTGATGTTCAACCTGCTGTTAGAGAGGACCTGTGCGTTCAAGTTGTAGATGTAGCTCATGGACGTGGTTGCTACTGGTGGGTACTGCGGAGAAGGGAAGAAGTTGCTGGAGACGAAGCCGTAGAAGGTGCTGGAGTCGAAGGACGAGGTGACACCATTGAGGATCAGCGAGATCGTGTATCCGTTGTCAATCTTCGCAGTGTCGAGGTACCAGAAGTCTCCCAGCGCTTGTCCGTTCACGTCCACCCCTCCATAGATCAGCCCGGCCTGACTTCCGGATATGAACGCATCGTTGATGATGGTGTGCAGGCAGCGCGCAGGGATGACGCTGTAAGCGCCGCTAGTTTGAAAGATGAGCTTGAACTGAGAGAGCTGATTGTTGTTGAAGACCAAGATAGCTGACGTCGAGGTGACCTGGTTGCTGGAGTCAGCGACGGCCCCTCGAGCTGCGAACGTCAGGCCTGGTTTGAAGTTGTTCAAGATGCCGCCATGGGACACGAGGACAGTAGCAGTCTGATTGGCCTGGAAGGTGGTGAAAGCGAAGTAGGTCTTGACCTCGCTCTTCAAGCTCTGGTCCACGTTGGTCCACGACCGGCTGAAGAGGTCAAACTTCCAGAGGTCGTTGAGTCCCTTCTGATTCTGAGTGCCGCCCATCATGACCAGGGTGTACTCGTTGAGGCTTGCCAGACCCGCGTAGCTTCGCGAGGGAGGGCCTTCGGCAAGGACAGGAAGGTTGGAGAGAGCCTGCGACAGGCTCGAGGAAGAGACATCTACAGTGTAGATACTGTTGCTGAGAGAGTTTTGCACGAAGCCTCCGAACAGAATCGCATGCGTGGAGTTGGACACTTGCGAGAAGAAGCTGTGCACTGCACCGCTCATGGTATACGCCACGCGTTTCCCCACCAGGTACTCCAAGGCGTCAATGGTCATCGGATCAGAGATGGACGTCGTCAAGGAGTAGTTGCCGATCAGGGCAAGCGGCAGGAACTGCGAAGACAAGCCCCCGATGGTGTAGGCTTGATAGCCGGACGCCAAGCTGGCGTACATTGACAAGCCGACTCTGCCCTGTCCGGACGGGTTGATCTCGAGGAGGGTGAAGGGGCTGAAGCCTTTGAGCGCCTTCTGCAGGTCGAGCATCCAGAGGTCGTTGAGGGGGCTCGTCAAAGCGACGCACACTTGACTGGCGCCTGATGTCGAGTAGGTCGCGCACCCGATGCCTCCGTATATCAAGAGTTTGCTCTTGGAGACGGCAGCGGTGGCATGCCCGAAGCGAGCTGGGATCCAGCTCAGATCGAACACCGTCGGCGAGCAAGTCGCGGAGCCTCCTGGACAGATCTGAAGGAATGGAGCTCTAGACGCGAACTTGGAGCTGTTTGCTTGCGTGTGGGTCAAGTAGCGCTCGAAGTCCGTCAAGGAGCTCATGGCGGGTCGGGTGGTGGGTAGGATGGAAGGCATCTTGGTAGCGGTGCCGCCTCCCATCACGATGGTCGACGAGCTATGAGCTTGTTGGCTCGTGTAGCAAACCTTCTCCCCGCATGACTTTCCTGCCCCTCCCATGTCGCAGCACGGAACAACTGTCGTCGGAGCCCAGTAGGAGTAGGAGGAGTTGAGCTTGACTAGTGCACTCGAGTCAAGGAAGGAGGAGGGAGGGTCGACAGTAGCCCAGCCTTGAAGCGAGTCGTTGTACAGCGAGATGGCTGAGTATCCAGGGAGACAGATCTGCAGCGTGTCGGATGAGACGCATCCTCCCTGTCGTCTCATGGCGCTCTGATCTAGCTGAAAGGTCACCCACCCTTGCATGCTCGAGCCATGCCAGGAGAACTCCAAGCTCGTTTGCTCGAGCCCAGAGAACTGCGACGAGCTTGGCAACGAGTTGTACATGCGCCGATCAAACCCATTCGCTGGCCAAGTGAGAGACACTCGGGGGTTGATGTTGTTTGTGGTTGAGAGGTTTGTGATGTAGAGTGTGTCTGTGGTTGTCGTCTCGTACTGCAGTTGTATCGTGTCTTGCGAGAGGATCCACTCGTTGGAGGCGAGCAGACCGTTGGAGTTGGAGTAGACGACTTTCTGACTCGCTGGGTTGTACCTGCACATGGCAGCAGACGGGAAGCGAGGAGGTTGAGCGGTAGCACGGTTCTTGAGCGTGAGAGAGATATTCAAGTACAGCTCTTGGTTGCCATCTTGCTGCATGTCCGTGATGATGTAGAAGGAGATCGTGCCCGTGCTCTGAGTCCACAACACCTGACCTGCAGTCGAGCTGCCGCCTGTCGCACTTATTCCGTCGCAATTGGACTTACAGGAAGCCTGCGGGTTGTTGACTCCGCTCCAGCTGCAGTAGGTCGAGGTAGGAGCCTTGCAGCTCACGTTCAACAGCGTATCGTTGCCAGCAGTCTGAGAGCCCACGAGCCCGGTGATGGTCACGTCGGTTCCTCCAGGCTGATTAACTTTGAAACCGTTCGAGCCTTGGTTGCCCTGGCTGGAGGAGAAGACAAACGACAGGGTGATCTGGTTGTCTGCACCATGGAGTCTGGTGGTCTCGTCGCCAGTGAATGAGAAGGGATAGTATGGGCTGCAGGATGGAGGACCTTGAGCCTGATTGCTCTGACTGTTCGAGTTGCTATTTGCAGACGAGCCTGGATTGCTTCCAGAAGAAGACGAATTTGAAGAGTTCGTTTGAGAGCCATTATGCGGGTTTGGCTGCTCTGCAAGAAGTTCGTAACGTACTTCAGCTGAAGGGTCCAGACCAAGTGCCTTGAGCGTCCTCGAGCCTGAGCTTTTGACCCCCTCTCGCTTGCGCCCATCCATCACCTCTCGTACAAACGACTCAAGCTCATCGATGCTTCTCAAGTCCTTCTTGTAGAGGACATGAGCCAGTGTCTGCTTGTCGCTTTTGCTTCTGAGCTGGTTCAGGTCTCCCCGGTACTGACCTGGTTGCATGCTGGCCGAGATGTTGCAGTCGATGATCACTCGGTCGTCTTGGGTGTATGTGACGTCGCAGTACATGCTGGGTGTAGAGCTCGAGCCCGGGGCTTGAGTATCTGGTCCCTTTGGTGTAGTCTGAGTGCAGGGGCATACTTGCTGAAGGGGATACGTGCTGGAGCCCGGTACGTCACAGTGCGTTGAGTTCTTGAAGTAGCAGATTCCCTGGGTGCTGCAACATGGGTCCTTGGTATTGTTTCCGCAATGGGACACGGGACAGGCAGATGGGCAAGTCCCTACGCCCGACGAGACTGAAGGCATCCCTCCGTACACGCCCGACATGGTCTTGGGGTCAAAGCAAGAGCACGTCCAGCTGATGCAGTAGCTCGAGGGGCACCAGTCCGGAGCGAACGAGTTGGTCTTTCCAGGGCCGCACTTGGGAAGAAAAGGAGGGCCGCCATTCTGCGAGCAGATGACTCCTTCGTCGGTGTATCCGATGTTGGGGTTACAAACCGAGCACACCCGATACAGATTGGTCGGGCACAGACAGGCTGGCACGTCCTTGGGGCAGTTCGGTATGTCCTGGCACTGGCAGATACCGGTCTGCGAGATCGCAGTCTGAAAGCTCGTATCGCTCATTTGAGAGGCTGCACAGTCCGTGTCAAAGTACTCGCAGTTCCCGAAGGTACACGAGTCTGCACGGGGGCAGCCCGAGCAGTAGTCCGTCAAGTTTTGACTTTGACACTCCGAGCCTCCGCCGGTAGCTGTGTTCACGACCAGACCATTGCGAATGGGTTGATCAAACGTCAGCTCGATCAGAAGCAGGCTGCTGTACGAGGACCCGACCGACGTGTTGTACATGCTCTCCTTGACAGGCTTGGCAACGTGATGCATCTGCACGTCGTAGTCCTGCCATCATCATCAGCACACTGGCCATCCCGCGCACACGCTCATCGCAGAGTCTTGAGAGCACCTGCATGGGAAGCCCGCTCACAGGATCTCGTGCAGCCGGCGTCCGCTTGCCAGTCTTGTCCATGGGGTACAGAAAGGCGTAGGGGTTACAGCGCGAGGGATCAGAAAGATCCGGGCATGCGGGCCACCAAAGACGGAAGTTATCAATGTAGCCTTTGAACAGCTTGAGCGTCTCCGAGGCCGCCGGGTTTCCCCCTCCGATGTAGATGTCGGAGATGCCCTGTGACAAGCGGAGGGAGTTGCTGATGTCAAGAGACAAGAAGTTCCTTCCCTGCTCTGACACGCTGCTGCCGTCAAGAAACATGAATGCTTGCGTCAGCACAGCGTCGGGATAGGGGTTGGTCTGTGAGTAGAGCCTACCAAACCTCAGCGTGAAGCACACATGGTGCCACACGCCCAGCACGCTGCTTGGTATCGGGCCCCAAGTCTTCACCACCACGTCCTGACTATCCGGCAAGAGCGTCAGCCTCACGAAGAGACTGTTGCCCGAGGCATAAACAGTCCAGCGCAGCAACGACAGTACCCCGTTGTAGGCATCAAGCAGCACAACGCCAGCTGGATCTTGGCTTTGAAGTTGTACCCACATGTCGATCCACAGCGTCCCCAAGCCCGTCGATGACTGGCACCTACACACCCGTCATGCAGGACCTCGCGCATCAGCTGCTGGCTTACCAGGAAGGCAGGGTCATGGCTATGATGCTGGTGATCCCATCGAAGCTTGCCATCTTGTCTTTGGCGCTCGACTCCTGAGACATCCAGCCCTCTGTCAGTACCAAGCATCGCTCTCACGAGCAGGCGCTTACCGCTTCTGCCGAGTCCATGACCCACAAGTCATTCCTGGGCTGAGGGAGGTTGCAGCTCCCTTGCTTGCCCGGACAGTCGATGGACGCTCCTCCGAACAAGACGATGGGCTTCAAGTACTGTCCGAACGACTCCATGACTGTCAGGGTAGCGAACGCGCGATCCGTCGGCCACGAGCTTGCTGTTTGAACCTGCTTCCATTCCAGGGTGAACATGCTCAGACTCCACATCGTGCTGGTGCTCTGGAACCCCGGGATAGACCCGGCTGCGTTCGAGCATTGAGACCCTGCTAGTCGAAGACCGCCGAAGACAAACTGGTATGATCCCTCGCTCGTGTACGCCGCAAACACGAGCGGCTCGGGGGCGTACACCTGAAGCGGCTTGGCCGCGCACGAGGCATCCGTACCGTAGATGCATCGCCAAGTCTGAGCAGAAAGATCGAGGGCCCAGAGGTCTTGGAAGATCTCCTGCTCAGACATCCCTTGAGCAACGTACATGGTCGATGACGTCGAGTCATAGAACGCGACGTGCCCACACCGAGCCGAGGGGCTGTTTCCGGTCTGCAGCGCTGCAGCAGCGTATCAGACACTCGACCAGCAAGGGCGCAGCCCCGCCCGTCACCTGACTGCCAGCCGCTGGATGTCTTGAACAAGGCCAGGTGACCAGCCGCCAAGGAGTCCTTGTCAAGACCGCCGAAGATCATCACCTCCGTCGAAGAGATTACGCCGCTCGATATGTAGCTCGCGAGCGGCGACGCGTCTGACGACCCGTACTGACTCCACACGAGAGTCAGGATGTCGAACATCCATGTATCCGACAGGACCTGTGACATGTACATCAGCGCATGGCGCCATGACCCCGCCAGCATCCCCGACACGAGAGTCCAAGACTTACCGAGGATGCTCCCACGCCTTCGGGGCCTTGCCCGCCGTGTACATAGATCTGAAACCCGGCCATCCACATGGCGTGGTATGCTCGAGCCGATGGTGAGGCCGAGATGGGCATGATTTCTACCCATCGCGCGGCTGATCGATTGGTGTACTGCTTGAGCACCCAGAAGCTGGACTGAGGGGTCTGCGATTCCCCATCGTCTACTATCCCGTCAAAGACAAAGAGCTCCTGCAGACTGACATGGAATGCACTGGCGTGCCCATGCCGAGGATGGGGGAGTAGAGAGCTTGTGGGGTTGCAGCTGCTCCATGTCCGCGTGGTAGGAGAGGACACGTTGAGGTACCAGCAGTCGTTCAGACTCTTGCCCACGGCCATCCCCACTCCCCCGAAGACGAAAACAACTTGATTCCTGTCGTCATATGCCATGCTATGGCCGTACCGGTTCTCGGGCCCAGGCCCGTCGAACCGCATCGGGTCCCACGTGGGTTGCGGGCTGATGATAAACCTCCAGCAGTCTAGCAGCCCTCTCCCCATGGATGATTTCTGCGGTGTCGCGAAGCCTCCGCACAGGAGGGCCGACGCCCCCACCGATATCATCGTATGCTGTGCACGCGGGCCGGGGACATGCCGGTTGATGGTGCTCGCAGCACACTGAGCATCGTAGATCGTATGGTTCGGGAAGAAGACTACTTCCTCCCAGCTGTTGGCTGCCGAGTCATACTTCCAAGTATCCCCAAGCACTACCATGGCGCTTCCTATGTTGTTGATCCTGCAAGCAGTACAGTGAGTCGCACGGGGCAGTGCAGGTCAGGCTTGTACATACCCGCCATGGAGGAAGACGAAGCCTTCAGAAGTGCTGAGCGTTGTAGTGGCGTAAGCGTAGCGAGGGGACGGACCGGATCCACCGGGCTGGATGAGCTGCCATTGGAGAGCTAGAGGGAAGAGGGGTTAAGCAGGCACAGGATGGGGGGCAGGCAGCCGGTACTTACGGAGGGCGAAGGTAGAGACGGAGAGAGACAAGACAAGGAGGAGTCGGAATCTTATTGTGCTTCGATAATTTCTCATTTCCTTTTTTCGGGAGTGTGGAATCGGCAATGAATTTAAACAACAATCAGGTTACAAGAGCGCAGGTCACGGAAGAAAATGCAGTGAAGAACAATGGAGAATTAATTGATTAGTGGAAAAATTTGTAGCGCATGGTTATCTTCATGCATTTTTCTTCTCCGTTCTCCTTGTTCTACCCATCCTGATCAGGCCATGATATCGGTATTTTAACTGCTGTGAGGGACGCAAATGGTTGTAGTGAGGATCGAATTGATGAAAATATTTCTCTTTTGGAAATCAGTGAAATGTGAAGTGTGACTATGATTGAAATTTAGTACAGATATTTGAAAATTTTGCCATTGCAAGATTCGTGATTTTGCAACGATTTCGAAGAAAGGATCCATCATTTGGCTTTAAGTAATATTTTACAGTACCAAGAGCTTGAATGGTTTTACTCCTGGCCTGCAAATCGGAAGGGTCATTTTTCCGGACGGGGTCAGATCACAATTGAGTTGATAGATGAGGTGCTGATTTTTAACTTAACTTTGAGTAAAAGATGAGGTGCTAGTTATTACTACTGACTCAGTGAATAACTGCTTTTTTCTTTTTCTTGTCTGCGGGCCCCGAAAGACCCCCGTAAAGTGCCCGGCAGGTACCCCTAGACACCCCTACCCCCTACCCCACCCCCCGCTCCCCTATCCTTCATGTAAAAGTCACCAGGTATACTTCAATGTTAAAGTCCCAGTGTGACTTATCGGTTCCAGCAACCCTACCCCATGGATCGAGGTAAAACTGACCCCTCCCTTGCTCCTCTCCCCTCGCATTTTCCGCACAATCAAACCGCGATCATGTCCCCGTTGTCTCAGTCATCCCAGCCTCCTTTGAGCTTCAGGCACGAAGCAAACACTCATTGACTACATTCATCCAAGTTGATTCCTTACCAGTCCACGACTAGTTGCTTCAAAAACATCCTATCTCAATATCTAACAGTTCTCGAACAAGAACTGATACTTTAGGAACACATCACTTTTGTAGAGATTCCTTGCGGGTAAGACATGTATTGAATACAGACTTCGTGCTGAAACCAATACCCGAGAATGACAGAATATAATACTATCTTTGAAACAATCATCGTCTTGTCTCTCTCCGTCTCTACCTTCGCCCTCCGTAAGTACCGGCTGCCTGCCCCCCATCCTGTGCCTGCTTAACCCCTCTTCCCTCTAGCTCTCCAATGGCAGCTCATCCAGCCCGGTGGATCCGGTCCGTCCCCTCGCTACGCCTACGCCACTACAACGCTCAGCACTTCTGAAGGCTTCGTCTTCCTCCATGGCGGGTATGTACAAGCCTGACCTGCACTCCCCCGTGCGACTCACTGTACTGCTTGCAGGATCAACAACATAGGAAGCTCCATGGTAGTGCTTGGGGATACTTGGAAGTATGACTCGGCAGCCAACAGCTGGGAGGAAGTAGTCTTCTTCCCGAACCATACGATCTACGATGCTCAGTGTGCTGCGAGCACCATCAACCGGCATGTCCCCGGCCCGCGTGCACAGCATACGATGATATCGGTGGGGGCGTCGGCCCTCCTGTGCGGAGGCTTCGCGACACCGCAGAAATCATCCATGGGGAGAGGGCTGCTAGACTGCTGGAGGTTTATCATCAGCCCGCAACCCACGTGGGACCCGATGCGGTTCGACGGGCCTGGGCCCGAGAACCGGTACGGCCATAGCATGGCATATGACGACAGGAATCAAGTTGTTTTCGTCTTCGGGGGAGTGGGGATGGCCGTGGGCAAGAGTCTGAACGACTGCTGGTACCTCAACGTGTCCTCTCCTACCACGCGGACATGGAGCAGCTGCAACCCCACAAGCTCTCTACTCCCCCATCCTCGGCATGGGCACGCCAGTGCATTCCATGTCAGTCTGCAGGAGCTCTTTGTCTTTGACGGGATAGTAGACGATGGGGAATCGCAGACCCCTCAGTCCAGCTTCTGGGTGCTCAAGCAGTACACCAATCGATCAGCCGCGCGATGGGTAGAAATCATGCCCATCTCGGCCTCACCATCGGCTCGAGCATACCACGCCATGTGGATGGCCGGGTTTCAGATCTATGTACACGGCGGGCAAGGCCCCGAAGGCGTGGGAGCATCCTCGGTAAGTCTTGGACTCTCGTGTCGGGGATGCTGGCGGGGTCATGGCGCCATGCGCTGATGTACATGTCACAGGTCCTGTCGGATACATGGATGTTCGACATCCTGACTCTCGTGTGGAGTCAGTACGGGTCGTCAGACGCGTCGCCGCTCGCGAGCTACATATCGAGCGGCGTAATCTCTTCGACGGAGGTGATGATCTTCGGCGGTCTTGACAAGGACTCCTTGGCGGCTGGTCACCTGGCCTTGTTCAAGACATCCAGCGGCTGGCAGTCAGGTGACGGGCGGGGCTGCGCCCTTGCTGGTCGAGTGTCTGATACGCTGCTGCAGCGCTGCAGACCGGAAACAGCCCCTCGGCTCGGTGTGGGCACGTCGCGTTCTATGACTCGACGTCATCGACCATGTACGTTGCTCAAGGGATGTCTGAGCAGGAGATCTTCCAAGACCTCTGGGCCCTCGATCTTTCTGCTCAGACTTGGCGATGCATCTACGGTACGGATGCCTCGTGCGCGGCCAAGCCGCTTCAGGTGTACGCCCCCGAGCCGCTCGTGTTTGCGGCGTACACGAGCGAGGGATCATACCAGTTTGTCTTCGGCGGTCTTCGACCAGCAGGGTCTCAATGCTCGAACGCAGCCGGGTCTATCCCGGGGTTCCAGAGCACCAGCACGATGTGGAGTCTGAGCATGTTCACCCTGGAATGGAAGCAGGTTCAAACAGCAAGCTCGTGGCCGACGGATCGCGCGTTCGCTACCCTGACAGTCATGGAGTCGTTCGGACAGTACTTGAAGCCCATCGTCTTGTTCGGAGGAGCGTCCATCGACTGTCCGGGCAAGCAAGGGAGCTGCAACCTCCCTCAGCCCAGGAATGACTTGTGGGTCATGGACTCGGCAGAAGCGGTAAGCGCCTGCTCGTGAGAGCGATGCTTGGTACTGACAGAGGGCTGGATGTCTCAGGAGTCGAGCGCCAAAGACAAGATGGCAAGCTTCGATGGGATCACCAGCATCATAGCCATGACCCTGCCTTCCTGGTAAGCCAGCAGCTGATGCGCGAGGTCCTGCATGACGGGTGTGTAGGTGCCAGTCATCGACGGGCTTGGGGACGCTGTGGATCGACATGTGGGTACAACTTCAAAGCCAAGATCCAGCTGGCGTTGTGCTGCTTGATGCCTACAACGGGGTACTGTCGTTGCTGCGCTGGACTGTTTATGCCTCGGGCAACAGTCTCTTCGTGAGGCTGACGCTCTTGCCGGATAGTCAGGACGTGGTGGTGAAGACTTGGGGCCCGATACCAAGCAGCGTGCTGGGCGTGTGGCACCATGTGTGCTTCACGCTGAGGTTTGGTAGGCTCTACTCACAGACCAACCCCTATCCCGACGCTGTGCTGACGCAAGCATTCATGTTTCTTGACGGCAGCAGCGTGTCAGAGCAGGGAAGGAACTTCTTGTCTCTTGACATCAGCAACTCCCTCCGCTTGTCACAGGGCATCTCCGACATCTACATCGGAGGGGGAAACCCGGCGGCCTCGGAGACGCTCAAGCTGTTCAAAGGCTACATTGATAACTTCCGTCTTTGGTGGCCCGCATGCCCGGATCTTTCTGATCCCTCGCGCTGTAACCCCTACGCCTTTCTGTACCCCATGGACAAGACTGGCAAGCGGACGCCGGCTGCACGAGATCCTGTGAGCGGGCTTCCCATGCAGGTGCTCTCAAGACTCTGCGATGAGCGTGTGCGCGGGATGGCCAGTGTGCTGATGATGATGGCAGGACTACGACGTGCAGATGCATCACGTTGCCAAGCCTGTCAAGGAGAGCATGTACAACACGTCGGTCGGGTCCTCGTACAGCAGCCTGCTTCTGATCGAGCTGACGTTTGATCAACCCATTCGCAATGGTCTGGTCGTGAACACAGCTACCGGCGGAGGCTCGGAGTGTCAAAGTCAAAACTTGACGGACTACTGCTCGGGCTGCCCCCGTGCAGACTCGTGTACCTTCGGGAACTGCGAGTACTTTGACACGGACTGTGCAGCCTCTCAAATGAGCGATACGAGCTTTCAGACTGCGATCTCGCAGACCGGTATCTGCCAGTGCCAGGACATACCGAACTGCCCCAAGGACGTGCCAGCCTGTCTGTGCCCGACCAATCTGTATCGGGTGTGCTCGGTTTGTAACCCCAACATCGGATACACCGACGAAGGAGTCATCTGCTCGCAGAATGGCGGCCCTCCTTTTCTTCCCAAGTGCGGCCCTGGAAAGACCAACTCGTTCGCTCCGGACTGGTGCCCCTCGAGCTACTGCATCAGCTGGACGTGCTCTTGCTTTGACCCCAAGACCATGTCGGGCGTGTACGGAGGGATGCCTTCAGTCTCGTCGGGCGTAGGGACTTGCCCATCTGCCTGTCCCGTGTCCCATTGCGGAAACAATACCAAGGACCCATGTTGCAGCACCCAGGGAATCTGCTACTTCAAGAACTCAACGCACTGTGACGTACCGGGCTCCAGCACGTATCCCCTTCAGCAAGTATGCCCCTGCACTCAGACTACACCAAAGGGACCAGAT